ACAACATAATTGGAAAAGAGAATTTTATATAATAATTGGACTGAATTAGAAATTGCTCCACAGAACCACATTATGTATATGAGGGAAGAATAACATTCTTTATAACTTTTTGCTGACATAGCAAAATATATATACATAAAACATATATTTGAATACTTATGAATTAAATACATTATATATGTATAATGTATATGATAAATGACTGACACATTTTTCAGGATTCATCAAATCAATTACCTCTTTGTCGTTTATCAGGCTGTATAGTACTATATAGGAGATGTTATACTACTTTGGAGTGGGGAGTCTGGAGAAGGGGGCAGAAACAATAGTTTATGATCAAGGAATTTTAGAGCAGGAGCTGCCAGGACTTCCGTCTGCTGTGCCATTGTTGCAGGACCACAGCTTCGAGGTTGTGCAACACCTTTAGTAAACACTTCCTGGAGCAGAGACAAGAATGAACCAGGGAGTTTCATTCTGTCTCACTTGAGAGGACGCAGGGACAGACCCAGCAGCACAGGTCTGAGCGAGCAGTTCAGGCGCTGCACCCCTGGATTCACCCAGCATGGTGCAAGGGCTTCTTCTGATGGTCACCTTCCTCCTCTCTCCAGTTTCAGGTCGGTGTTTAACTCTTTTTCCAAGTTCTGTTAAACACATCAGGGAACTGCCTGCTTTTCGTCTTCTGATGGTTTTATTGCACAGAATATTTTGACTTTTTATTTCTCAACCAATCTTACTAACCAGTTGAGCTGGTCTTAATGTGTTGTTTGGGGTCTGTGAATAATGTAAAGACTCAATGTTAAAGAGGCAATGAGAGGTGTGGAAATAATGTTTACGTATCTGACCTGTGAATAGTTTGAAATAAAAGGGACAATTTCATGCAGCATAATTTAAATAATAAACGTGCTTTGAGTCAAAAAGTGGAATTCATCATAACCCACCTTGTCATTAGTGGTAATGACAGAGCAGATTTGCCTGGTTATTGCTGTAGAGAAGGCTTTGGAAAATATCTATTATTATTAGGGCCAGTTTGACTCCTTCTGTTCCTTTTGAGTATATATTTTTATATTTAAAATATAAAATTTATGTTTTAATAATTTTTAATTTAATATATAAAATCCTTTCTTTACTAATGATACTAAATGTAACTAACTGAAAATAAACAGTTGAATATAATATACTGTGATAATCCTTTCTTTACTAATGATACTAAATGTAACTAACTGAAAATAAACAGTTGAATATAATATACTGTGATAATGCTTGGCAAAACAACATTGCTATTAAACTTAAGTTGACAATTCGCTTCCGTTTTGCTGGTTATATCAAACATTTAAGAATTTAAAAGTAGAAAAAATACTACTTCCTAATAGTAAATTATGTATAGCATGTCTCTGCATTTCTGGTAAATTCTCTAATTAGATTTTAGTTCAATTAGGTTGGGTAACACGTTTCTTCAGTTTATTTCTATTTCCAGATTTTATTTAAGTCAGCACACTAGCTGCAGTGCCTGCAGTCCTTCCCTAGGAAACCTGTCCTCGGGTCTTAAACCTGGGAATGTGAAAAGATTATCAGCACCTAAGTGGACACATAGGAATTACATTTATCGGGTATTGGGCAGGTGGGAGGGGGGAGGAGAGGATGCGTATATACATACATAATGAGTGAGAGGTGCACCATCTGGGGGATGGTCATGCTTGAAGCTCAGACTTGAGGGGGGAGGGGAGCGAGGGCATTATATATAACCTTAAAATTTGTACCCGCATAATATGCCGAAATAAAAAAAAAAAGATTATCAGAAGAGGTGTGAGATTCAGGAGAGAAAGATTCTCCTCTTCCATGTACCTACTTAGTACTTTGTCATATAAAATGGTTTTCCTACCTTCAATTTGTTTCTGATTTGTTTTCCAGACTCATAAAACTTTTAGTTAACATCTTTAAATATAGAACTGATGCCAGGCATTTAAGTTATTGACTTGAAATTCTAACTTTTTGTGTCAAACTTAATAGGAATCTTTTTTCCCTACACTCTCCAAAAGTGCTGTCACCAACACCACTTTGGGATCCTGCTGTTAGCTGAAACAAAGAACTGCTTGGGTACCTGCTTGCTGAAGAGCATGAAGATCTAGCAGGCTAGATCCATTAACAGAGATGGCTAACATGGGGGGGGGCGTGCACCTTACAGCTTTTTCAGTGGTATTGGACACATCACCTGATTCTGCTCACCTGATGATGCATTTACAACATGGCACCAAGAGACATGGTGTTCCTTAGCAGTCATGCCCCAAAGCATGACATTGCTCCTCCCTTTAACTCCCAAGCTTGTATTTTTAAGGTTGTCACCTTGGCCACTGAGATACCCCTGTTATCATTCCCATTTGAGTTTAGTTTTGAGCCACAATGTAAGAAGTAAAGCATTTTTCATTCCCCATCTCTCCCTCTTTCTTTCTCTGCTCCCATCATCAAAGCAATACTTATATGCTACTCTGACGATGACTTTTGCATAGTTCCCAGACACCTGAAATGCAAGAATGAGATGTAAAACAAGGCCAGCTGTTTGTAATGGGCTTCACAATCCCCTGAGAAAAGTGGCTTATGGGATTTCATCCCAGGAAAAGAAAAAGAAAACATTCAAAAGGATGTGACAAGTGTTTGCAGGATGAGGATGTGAGTACTTGACACAGGAGAAAGGTCTCTGCTATATTCCAGCAGAATATCCAAGGGGTACGGTGCTTTCTGAAATTATTTTATTGCAAACTAGCAGTTCTTTCTTGCCTTGATAAGGTGACTAGAAGACCCAAAAGAGTATATGCAATTTAACCTTAATAGCCAAAATAATAGACTTAATTAGGATGTGTTGTTTTCCTTAATGCTTTTACTCACTTTTACTGCGTGCAGTTTAAATCACAAGACAGTTTGAGGCGATACAGAGAATCTCAGAACCGAAGTTAGTGTCATTGCATAAATCCTAATTCAGGATTTAATGTCATGTGTTCAGTTTGGAAAGATATTGCTTTGAATAGATTTGAACAGATTTGAACAAAAATGAAAATGTCAGTATTACGTACAAATGTTCTAATTCCAAACACATTGACAAAGTAGCAATCCAGACAAGTGTCTGTTATATTAATCTTGTTAATGAGCTTTGGCTTTGCTAAAACTAATGAACAGTACAAATTAATTATCCAATCCAAACCAAAATAACAGTTTTCTTTTTCTTGATCCAGTTTTGCGGGTCAAAACTAATCCAACATGTGAATTCTGTGGGAAGAGAGAAAGCAAGTATTAAAATGAACTGGGAGAACATACTGTGTTACACCTTGGATTTGTGTAATCCCTGGACGACAGTTCTGTTGGTTCCTCAGGCTTCGGGATAATTAAGCTGATGTCATTCATTTGGGAGGAGGCTTCGCTATCTCTTTCAATCTAAAGAATGTTTAATTCTGTTAGGTTCCTATAACTGCTGTGTACTTTGTTATATCTCAGACCTCATTATTTCAGTTACTTTCTAGGTTTCAGGAAAATAAGAGCCTTTAAGGAAAATTCTATCTGATTTCTTTAGAGAAGAGTGTGTTGCAAGGGTTTGGAAAGAGCTGGAAATCATTCACTTCAAACTGAAGAAAGTGATAAGTTGTCAAAGGTTTTTAAAGGAAATACTGTTTTTTATTTTTGTTTTGCTTTGTTTGTTTTTGGTTTCCATTTGGAAGTTCTCAGCTACCAACAAAGGATCGGAAATACCTTTCATAGCTAATTTACATATTTTGAGTCCTTATTTAAGATCCAGTTGATAATTTCTGATTTCATGAAACATTAGGATTCATAACGAGCTAGAAACATGGAATTCAGTGTGCATGTTAGAGAAAATTTGTGTTGGCTACATTAGTCTGTTGCCCTTCTTTCTACTTCTGAATGGGGACTGTTTGTATTACCACTTTCTGCTTTTATGCAAAGAATCAGGTGGGTGATTATTATTTTATGACCCGAAGGTAGCTTGGACTACTATTTTCTATTCAAATCATGTGTGTGATGGATGAAAACCATTAATGCAGCATCTTTGAAAGAGTTACTTTGGCTGCAGCATTAGTGAAACTTGGCTTCATGAACTCCATAGTAACAGGACTAATTGCATTGATTAGACACTGTAATACGCTAGGCAGCATGTTGGTGCCTTATGGTACGCTTGTTTTGTGTCACTAATTAAAGAAGGCAGCAGGGAATTGTGTCAATACCACTACTTAATTTCTGGCAAGGGTAATTTTTTTTATCTCTGTCATCTTTAGTGTTTTGAAATAATTATGATTATTATGAAAATTTTAACTCGGTGGAAAGAAAAATGATCGATTCAGTGTTCCTTTAGGCTTTTGAACTTCTGTTATGAAATTTTTTTATAATTGATGTTATTACTTTCCTTTACCAAAAATTAATTAAATTGAAATATGCCCAATGATTACTTTCATGAGAGCAAGAAATGAGTAACTGAAGAAACTTGTGATGACATTCTTGAACTTTGACAATGCCATGAAGCTTATTTTTACCACAACTGATTAGAATTTAGCTATCATAATGATCATGGACTCATCAAAGATGAATTCTGGGTTTGTTTGCATAAAATCATAGAGTACTTGAACTAGCTCTAGACACCATTTAATCTGCCCCCTCTTTCCAAATAATTAAAAAACCCAAACCAAATTCAAAATTAAGATATTCTAGTGTCCGTGCCATGGCTTTTTTGATTTTTTTTTTAGAATCTCAAGCCATTGAAAGAAAAGACATTTCATTACTTTGACACCCTATTTTTGACTCAAAGAGTTCCTAGCCAATTTTAACCTCTTTTTCTATTCTTCAAAGTTAGTTAGATATAAATGGCTTTTGAGTGGCCAGATGAATTAAAAGCCATTTTAAAATAATAAAAACTTGATATTACTAGGAAGTTTTTAAAGTTTTTTCTTTAGTTTTTGAAGAAAATTTTAAAAATGAATGTTTTTCCTTTTTATTTCCCTTAGTAAGTGCTATAAAAGAACTCCCTGGGACAAAGAAGTATGAAGTGGTTTATCCTGTGAGACTTCATCCACTACATAAAAGAGAAGTCAAAAAGCCAGAGCAACAGGTACAGCTTTTGATATATCAAAATCAAATATATAAATAAATATCAATTTATGTAAAAATTTATATAAATCTATATTTGATATATATCTCACATGATGAGTGCTATGTATGAGATTTGTATATCTAGACATATATATTTAATGCATCAAATGTACTTTGTGAAGTTTTCAGCTATTATACCTTGGAGTTAAATAATAATGACCATAATTGTGTTTGCTTTTCTATGTCTTTTTTTTAATCTTTACTATAGCCCAAAGTTCTCTTATTAGACTCATTTTACAAATCAACATTCTGACAAGTGACATGAAATATCCAAGGTAATAGAGTGTAAACTTTAATATTTTATGATAATTGAGTCTATACATTTCTTAAGAAAGTTGGATATAACTCATTTATCCATCTACCTATTCACATATACACAGCTATGACCATTAAAATGAAAGTAAAAAAAGTGACATAGTGCAGGTTAATATATGCATATATGTAAACCACTGTGAAATTTATCAGTTTTTTAAAAATAGGCAGCTATTAAAGTTTGTATAATTCTTACTACAAATGAAACAACACATTCTAAGTCAATATTCACTCAACAAGTATTTATTGGTTATAAGAGAAAAGCTAAAACATGATGATTCATTCAACAACAATGTTCTAATTACCTACACTCTAAAGTCTTTTGCTAGGAGCCAGGAAAATACAGATAAAACATAAGCAATAACTTACAGAAATATTCTAGACTGCAGCTCACCAGGAGCACATATTCCCTACTGAGATTGTAGTTTCTTTCTGATGATTCCTGCCTACATTAAGGTATATATTCATGTTATGTTTCTCATAGTCCGGGCTCCACTGCACCATGTGAAGAACTCGAGGCCAAAAGCCATCAGTGAGACCCAATGGAGGTTTTTAGGTCTCTGTGTATACTCTTCCTTCTTCTCAGATAACACATCAGCTTAAACGTTACTTCCTCAAGGAAGTCATCCCTGCCCTTAAGACATTAGCCATCCTACCATTATATAGATCCATTATATACAAAGTACATATCCATTGTATATAATATATATCCATTATATGCAATATAATTGCCTTTGCTGTTTTTCCACAAGATTATAAGCTCTCTGACAGCAGATACCAAATTTTGTTGCTTAGAGTTGAATTTCCAGAACCAAGCAATGTCTTGCATAGAACCCTCATGCAAAAAATATTTGTTGAATGCATGGATGGATATATTTATGGGTCTCAGGTAATTTATCTATTTAGTTGCCAGAGTCATTTGTTCTGTTAAAAAGGGAAGACAGCAACGTTTGGATGTTACATGCTACTTCTCAAGAATAGCAAATATTGCTTGCTAATGATTAAAGAAACATAACCATGTAAATATTTGTGTATGCTTTTAAATTACCAGCAAATGTTTGTGCATTTTTTCAGGAACAATTTGAAACTGAATTAAAGTATAAAATGACAGTTAATGGGAAAATGGCAGTGCTTTATTTGAAAAAAACCAAGTAAGTGTCTTTACTTCTGCTACTATCCTCACTAACAGCAAAGTAGCATGTGTAAAGTGAGCTAATTGAGTCTGTTGGTACTTACGGCTCAGATCAACCTTGACTAATCAGGTTTTGCTCTTAATTGATCCAAGGCACTCAGTGAATATTTGTTTCTATTGAAGTAGTAGAAATACATTGGGTAAAACAACACTTTACCAGTATTTTGATATAAGTGATAAGCCCAATTAATGATATGTTAGCAGACATATATTTTATCTGTTCTATAAAATAGCAGTAGAGAGGTTCCAGTGTATTTTGCTATAATTTAAAAATTTTCCTCTATATTATTACAATTTATTATTCTAACACTGAAAGATTAGATTTTAAGACCATTTGAAAGTCAGAAAAAGAAAAGTGAAATAAAACCCTAGGGCCAGAATAAAAAGTCAGTGGTAAAACCAGAATTGGGTTCTCTTAACTCTATCATCAGTGTTCTTTTTACTCAGCTACCCACTAACCTGTCCATTTTTCTTATATACATTATTGCCTCAATTTAACATTTCTTTTCTAATTTCACTGTCACCTCTCTCATTCAGATCTTGATCAACCTATATCTAGACTATTTCAAACTAGTTTTCCCTAATTCTCTGCTTTCAATCTCTTTAATCTCTATATAGATCTTTCTATGTAGGGCAGCAAAATATTTTTCTCCAAAATACACTATCACCTGTGCAAAAAACCATGATTGACAGGAGTTTGGAAATAGTGGTATAATGAAAATAGTACAGGCTTTGGGTTTAAGCCAATATGGATATGATTCTTTGCGTTTTGAACTGTTTACTTTCATTTGAAAAATAAGGAGAATAATATCTATCTCATAAAATTTTTGAAAGGATTAAATTAAATGAATCATTTCTAACACAGTGCCTGCTATAGAGATGGCATTTTATTTTATTTTTTTTAATTATTTTTTTTTTATTTTGGCATATTATGGGGGTACAGATTTTAAGGTTTCAATAAATGCCCATTTCCCCCCCCCAAAAGTCTGAGTCTCCGAGATGGCATTTTAGTTATACAAGTTACTTCCTTTCTCTTCACCTTGCCTCTTTAAAAAATATATTCATTATTCACAATATACAAGATATAGAAGCAACCTAAGTGTCCGTCAACAAATGAATGCATAAAGAAATTGTGGTATGTATGTATATACATGTGTATACATACATATATACACATATATACATGTATGTATTTACATATACAGTGGGATGTCATTTAGCCACATAAAATAAGGAAATTCTGCCATTTGCAACAACATGGATGAACCTACAAGACACTATGCTAAGTGAAATAAGCCAGATACAGAAAGACAAATATTGGATGATCTCACTCATTTGTAGTATCTAAAAAAGTCAAAATCATAAAAACAGAGAGTAAAATGATGGTTCTCAGGGACTGGGAGGAGGTGGTGGGACTTGGGAGTTGTTGGTTAAAGGGTACAAATTTTCAGTCATAACATGAATAAGTTCTGCATACCTAGTATACAGCATGTTGACTATTGTTTATAATAATGAATCATATACTTGAAATTTGCTAAGAGAATAGATCTTAAGAATTCTCACCATACACAAAAAATGAACACTATGTGAGGTGATGTATATGTTAATTAGCTTAATTGTGGCAATCATTTCACAATGTATATGTATCTCAAGTTATCACAGTATATACCTTAAATATATACAATTTTTATTTTCAATTATGCTTCAGTAAGGCTGAAATATATATATGTATATGCACGTGTGTATGTATGTGTCACATACACACAGACTTCTATTTTCCAATAGATAACAGAAAGAATTTTAATAACTTTAACAAAATTCCAGAAGGGCCCTAACTACCAAGTTCAAGTCAATTTCCAATAAACTCTGCTCTGCAACAGTTATTAACAGTCACTGATAGCTGGAAGAACTGAGAAAAAATGAAGTTATCCCAAATTGGCAAGAAGGATTGCTCATATTACTCATTTTTATCAACTTTGACCTTAGTTCTGTTTCTTCCTGGAGTCTTTCCTCAAACAAGCAGGCCAAGTCCTGTGAGGGAGAAGATGGGGTTCTGCACTCCTTAGGAATGTCCCTGTCCCTCCCTGTCTGTCCATTTCAAAGAGCCCTTTAGTGCTTGGACTTATCTAGAGGTATGAGGAGCAGGAGCCCAGGAGTTAAACTTTTCTGCACACCTAGTGAAAACTCTCACTTTGACCACTGGGCTTTAGGGTTAGCACAAGTAACCATGACATTTTTGTTCTTCTGTCTCCAGGAATCTCCTTGCACCAGGCTACACAGAAACATATTATAATTCCACTGGGAAGGAGGTCACCACAAGCCCACAGATCATGGTATTACAGTCTCCTGGATTCCTTATTATAGGGGTTGGACCCACGGACCTAAAGGCACTATTATTGTCAGGCAAATAGTACAAGTAAAACTGCATTTATAGCATTGATGCTTTTCTCAGCAATAAAAATTACTTAATTGACATATATATGTCAATTATATATATAATATATATATTATATATATGTAATTATATATATATATTTAAGTTTTAGCAAGAACAAAGGCATTCTTTGACAACTCTGGCAAGCTTTTCCAGCCTTCAAGAGCTCCCTGTAGAAGGGTGGGAAGAAGGAGCTTATTATTTTCTTTATAGTGAAGAGTTAAGCACCTCTGGTGCTCTCAGTCGATTCCTATCACTTCTCTGGATTCTGTGGTCTCTCAAAGTCAGACTATGTACTCAATGGCAATTGTAGAATTCCATGTTTTAGTTAAATAATTTCCACTCTTGACTCCTATGTGGAGACCCTCTCTGCTCCAACTGAGTGTATGACAGCATGTGGCAGTGTGAGGAGTAAGTCGTCATTGTCTCCTTTTCTGAGATTGATTTTCTGTGGTAAGCCTTTGAAGCACTGATTTCTATAGTAATGACACAAGAGTTTACATGGACCAACATCTCATCTATCTCAAAGTAGAAAGATATTTTATATTAATAGAACAGCCACATGGAAAAACGTTAGGATGGGTATTTTTCTCCAAATGTTGTGCTAATCCAGTTAATCTGACAGAACTCTTTGGATAAATGAAGAAATAATAATAATAATAAATCAGCCTGAATAACCCATCCATTGGAAAAAGGGCTTTTAGGTTTTTGTTAGAAAAAATTTACTGAGCAATCAACCAAGGAGAAGAATGAATGTCTGGTGTTTGGGGGACTCAGGTTTTAAATTGGAATATCTAAGTTTGTTTCTTCTAAATACTATTCACTTTTATCCTACTTCAGCAATACCAACATTTGGTTAATACCTTATAAGCATTTTGGGATCATTGACATTAAAGATTAAAATCTTTTATTTAATTATTTTTAAAACATCTCTAAGTTGACTGTTCATAAGAAAATGGTTTGAAAGTGTTGTAGATCCTGTTTCAAGATTTCAAATTCAACTTTACATGGAGGTCTAAAAGGTACACATACTTTTCCTACAAAATCTCCTTTTCCTTTTTCTGTAGGATGACTGTTACTATCAAGGACATATCATGAATGAAAAAGTTTCTGATGCTAGCATCAGCACATGTAGGGGTCTAAGGTAAGACTTTAGGAATGTTTTGTATGTGCCTGTGATTATGGTGTGTGTATTTAATAAACCTAAAGGATCTTAAATATGGTTAATTTTTAAATATGATTAATTATACTGTAGTTGAATATGAATCCTAAGGACCATAAAATTTTAAAATTTGGAAGAAATACCACTTTCCTTGATAGTGGTTTGTGAATCACACATCTGAATTGCTTTCGGAGATATTTTTGTCTGTTTGCTTGTTTTCAGAATAGAGGATTTTGAGTCCTAGTTTTAGAGTCAGAATCTTTAGGGGATGGGAGCTCTCCTCCTCTGTCTTCACTTTAAGGTCTCTCTCTAGCTTGTCATTTTCTTGTCATTAGCTTGTTCAGGCTGGTCTGGGACTCCTGACCTTGGGTGATCCTCCTGCCTTGGCCTCCCAGAGAGCTAGGATTACAGGCATGAGCCACCACACTATGACATCTATTTATCTCTGTCATTATTCCCCATGCATCTGTCTACAGGAAGATGTCTCTTCTGATGCCCAAACTTGACTATCTAATTTTCTTTTCCATATCTATAGTTGGATATCTTAAAGAAATCTTAATCTCAATGTGCCCTAAACCAAACTAATGATCGACTCCCAAATATGGTATTTTTCCTGTTTTTTCTATCTTAATCAATGCTATAATCAAATAACCACTTGCCCAATCTAGAAATCCAGATTCCTTGAAGGTTCTTCCCTTCTCAATCCCCCATTTTCAGCACCTTGTCAAGTCTTGTTGAGTATGTCTTCTAAATATTTCCTAAGATTGTTCACTACATTCTGTCTCTACTCTAACAACCTAGTTTAACTACGAAGCTCCTCTATGCCAATCATTGCAATAAACTATATAATTTATCTTCCCACATCCACTCTTGTTATCTTCTAATCATATGTACACTTAATCCAGTCTCCCTATTATATGCTTTTGTACTTTCTCTTCTTACCAATGATCTGTTGTAATTATATGTATTAAGCATTTACTGTATAATTATATATATATATATATATTCTGTGATTATTTGAAATACATCTATCTTCCATATTTGAACATAAATTCAATGAGGAAAGCGACTGTATCTCTTTTTTACTGTCTTCCCCTAGTCCGTGGTAGTGACTAATGCGTGCTCACTCAGTACCGATTGAATGAATCTTGCCTCAGGACTTCTGCAGAGAGAATTGAAAAGAAATTGATAATATTCATTTATCATGTGCTTTACATGTTATCTCTTTCAATACTTATCATCATCCTATCAGGCATCCCCTGGTATCACAGCTAACAAGTAATAGACCCAGAGTTTTAACCCTTATCTATAAAACTCTAAAGTTTCTTTCATTTTTAGTGTACCTTTAGAGCAGGTATAGCATAAAAATCGGAAGAACACCAGACTGAGAGTCAGGAAATGTGCATTCTTGTGCCATAACTGCCGTGGTTGGCTGTATGACATTGCAGTAATCACTTCTCCCTAACAGATCTGATTTCCTTAGAGAAAGTAAGTTCAGGTGATCTCTAAGTCATCTTCTGCTATATGTTTTACTGTATTTTATTACCATGAGCTTAAACTGTTTTGGCACTGACTAGAAACTTTGTAAGATCCCTTTTCTGGAGCCTATATAGCTATATAACGCTAATACAAGAATCTTTTGTTAACAAGCCTGAATTCTCATGTTTTTCCAGGGGCTACTTCAGCCAAGGAGATAAAATGTACTTTATTGAACCTTTAAGCCTCACGAATCAGGATGGACAGGAGCATGCACTCTTCAAGTATGATCCCAGTGAAGAGAAAGATAACAGCACCTGTGGGATGGATGATGTGTTATGGACACATGGATTGCAGGAGAATGTTGACTTCTTTGCCACCAGACTAGTTGTATGTGTAACTTTATTTCTTATTTGTGATACTCTCACATGTCCTGTCCTGGTTTCCCTGGGTTCCAGTTTAGCAGTGAATTTACTGAAACTTTACAGTCATTGCTGAAATGAATACATTATAAGGACACTAATCCTAAATCATTGCTAGACATTGATGATTCATTTAGCAAGTGCTTATGAATCAACTATTATCATCAGTAATGTGTAAGGGTTAAAAAATGTAAAATAAAATACTTGTTCTCTAGGAGTAGGTAACTGTCACAATACTTTCTGTATCCTACAACAAACCACAAAGGGATACAGTACTATTATTATTTTGCATTTGATCTTAGCCAAAAGGCCAAAAGCAATTATTATTATTTTGAAATAAAAGATCCTGCTTTCTTCATGAGTGTATCCAAAAAAATCTCTTTTAAAGTTCTGCCAGAGATATTAGGAAGGTAGAAGTGAGCAAAATAGACACAGAATCTGCCTACAGGAACTTAGAATACTCTTTTATGTATGGAGTTCTAGTCAAAGGAGGAAAATGAACATGCCCTTATGTTTACAGTGTAAAGTGCATATCAAAGTATCTTTGTCATTATTACTGTCATTTCCTTCAGGATCTATTTCAAATCCCACCATCTCTTCTAAATGTTCTCAGAATCTCTAAGCACTGGGCAGAATTGGTCTGAATAAAAGTCCTGGTGGGTTCAATTTGTTGCAGGTTTAAATTCTACCAGCAAATTCACTGGTAAAAGTAAATATATAGTCAAATCCGAAATATTCCTACACTGTTACTGTTATGGTGCTCTGTAAATCACAGGTATCTCCAACATGAAGGTTATAAGTCAAATCAGTCAAAATTAATCATAGCTACAATAAGTTAAGAAATACATAATATAACATATAAATTGTTACATCAAAAACATAAACTGCAAAGGGGAGAGTAAAAGTCTAGAGTTTTTATATTTGTCTAAAGTTATTATCAATGTAAAATCTATTATAACTGTAAGATGTTTTATGTAAAAATCATGGTAACTACAAAACAAAAATCTACAGCAGATACACAAGCAATAAAGAGAAAGGAATCAAAACTTAGCACTACAGAAAAATCACCAAATCACAAATATAAACAAGAGAAGAAGAAAGGAAAAAAGGATCTGTAAAACAACCAGAAAACAATTAACAAAATGGTAGCAATTATGATTGATAATTACTTAGAATGTAAAGGGATTAAATTCTCCAATCAAAACACATAGAGTGGCTGAATGGATAAAAATAAAAAAGCAATGTTTAATTATATGCTGCCTACAGAGACCCACTTTAGGCTTAAGAACACACATAAGATGAAAGCGAAGGGATGGTAGCAGACATTTCATGCAAGAGATAACCAAAACAGAGCAGTGATGGCTATACTTATATCAGATAAAATAGGCTTCAAGTGAAAAACTGTGACAAGAGACAAAGAAGGTCATTATTGAATCATAGAGAACTCAATTCCTCAAGAATAAATAACAATTTTAAATATATATGCACCCAACGTTGGAACATCTAAATATATAAAGTAAATATTAAAGGATATGAAAAGAGAAATGAAAAGCAATACAGTAATAACAGGGGACTTTAATACCCCACTTTAACCAATGGATAGGTCAACAAGATAGAAAAGTAATAAGAAAACACAGTAATTGAACTGCACTTTAGACAAAATGGACCTAACAGGTACATACGGAACTTTCCATTCTACAGCGGCAGAATATACATTCTTCTACAGTGCACATGCAGTGCTCTCCATGGTAGACCAAATGGTAGGCCAGAAAAAAAGAGTCTTAACAAATATAAGAACCTGACCATGGGTTATAGACCCCTGCATGACTAGGGCCCCATCCACCTCTCTTGTCCCTTCCTACCGATGACCTTCCTACTTAGGTTCTCAAAAACACAAACTTTTTTTTCTATGCTTTAAACATGCCAATGTCAATTCACCTTAGCGTCTATTTACTGAATTTTTTCTCTGCCAGAATTATCTTCTGAGTCAATTACATTGATATGTCTGCCTTCTCAATTACATTAATATGTCTGCAAAGGGCCAACTCTTTAGAGATTTTACTCTGTTCTGAAACAACTACCCAGTCACTCAGTATCACATCATCCATTGTAATCTTCCACATCACAGTGATCACCAGTTGATATCTGTATTAATAGGTTTGTCTCTTGCAAGTTTCTTAAGCAGATGGACCATGTGTATTTCACTGCTGTGTTCCTAGTTCCCAGAGCATTCTCAGTGTGTAGTAAATGCTAATAAATATTTTGCTCTTGTGGAGGGCGAGAAGTAAGTGCATATCTCGTTAGATAACACCTAAAAGTCTAACTTCAGTAAGTTGTTCTTGGTAACAGAAGCTTAGTCACCACTAAAAGATATGCACTTCCAGAAAAGCAATGAACTGGGATGGTTTATTATTTAGTAGGAATAAAGTACCTGCTACTTCTCAATGGGACAATCCACTATAAAATTTTTTTTTGAGAGAAAGGTACAGAAAATAGGGAGCTTGCAACATGGGAAGGAGATCTCCCTCTGCCTCTGAAGAGAAGAAAGCAGACTAGAGGTAGTGGCTGCTCTGTGCATTGCACCGTCTGTCAGAGAGGGTGTATTCACCAGGATAGGAATAAAATGCTACCTGCTCCACCACCAGGAAAAAGAAAGCACGAGAAAGATGCTGAAGTCAAAGTTTCTCTATTTTGTGGCATGATGATGAGGAAAGCCTACTGTTCAAAAAACCCAAAGATGTTGCTTTATTTGCAGATCCTCAATTAATTACTAATCATTTAAACTCTTTGGTAAAATGAAGGGGACAGACCAGAATTTCTCTTCTAGCTCTAATATTCTGAGCCTTGTCTTTAGATAATCTTGGCTTTTGACTTAGAGTTAAATGGTAATATGGTCTGTCTTTACTCCCAGATATCAATCAACCTCTTATTAAATCACACATGTCAAATAAAAGAAGAACTCTTGCAGAAAAAGATGTCGTTCTAGTAACTGTCTTCCTTATATTTCAGAAATCGAATGACCAGAATGTTCAGAAACATGAGAAATACATAGAATATTATTTGGTCCTGGATAATGGGGAGGTAATTATATCAAATAAATGTGTCTTTTAACCCCTCTACATATATTTATTTAATATGCAAGATAATAAATGTTTGGATTAGATTTGAAAAGTCATTAATATGAACTATGGTTATACATTTTTCTGAACCTATGAAATTGGACATTTATAGTTAAGCTAATATGATTTCTCCCTTTCAAAGAAGTGAGTGCAAATGATATGATATGCATAAATTGAATTGTTGGCCCTATAGTTCTATTGTCTTATTTACCTAAGAGATCTAAAAAAAAAAAAAAAGAGATCCAAACTTAATTCCAGTTAAATTCTTTTGTTACTCTGTGTTGTGTTAAATTTTTAAATCATTTGTAAATTAGAATTTATTCTCATCAGGGAGTGGTAAATGTAAAAGCCTAGTAAGTAGAATCTTTTGAAAAAGGCGAATCTTTGGTAGTAGTCATAGTTTATCTTCTATTATAGGAATGCATTTTCAGATATTGGGTTTTCTAAACTCAAAAGTTCATGTGTACATGAAAACATGAGTATATTAATTAGTTTGGGCCCTAAAGTTTTGACCTTTCTTAATGTACTGAATGTATTTACTGTTCATATATATTTTTTAAATTAATAAGATATTCCTTAAACTGATTCTGCAGAGCATAGGAAACCATCGAATTTAGGTAAAAATACATTTGGAATAATTCCTGAGAGCTTTGTACTAAGCTAATCCTTCAAGGGAGAAAACAGTATCTTCACTCTCGAAGTGCTTTAATTTAGTTGGAGAAATAGGATCAATTAGTTTCTAACTTTGAATAGTTAACTTTAATAACTGATCCTTATTTTAACCACTGATAAGTAACATAAGCAAGGATGCCTTTTTTTTTTTACCTTCCAATTGTATTAATTTCTATTAATGCCCATATTCTCTCTTAATCATTTTTTTTAGTTTAAAAAGTATGATGAAAATACAGATGAAATAAGAAAGAGGGTGTTTGAGATGGCCAATTACATCAACATGGTATGAAATATTTTATTAAATGCAATGCTAAACAATTTGCTAGGAGATATCATTGGGCTTTTCAGTGAATCCACACGCAGGGTGTGCAAGGCAGAGCAAAGGCCCTGTGGTCGGAACCTCGCTTGTCATGTTTGAGGAACAGCAAGTAGGCCACTGTGGCTACATAGTAAGCTGGGGTAAGGATGACAGGAGACGATATCTAACAAGCAGAAGTGATCAGAACACCCTGCTGGGCCTCAGTAAGGACTTTCACTGTTACTGGTCATGAGTGAAGAAGATGTTGGAGAGCCTGAGCTGAGGTGGGTTATCTTCAGATGTGTGTTCTTAAAAGATTGCATGGGGAATTGTGTTGAAAATAAATGGAAGGGAAGCAAGGGCAGAAGGAAGAAGACCATGTAGGAGAATCATGCCACAGTTCAGAGCAAGAGGTGGAGGTGGCTTGGGAAAAAGCAGTGGTAGTGAATTTGTTGAGAATGACTGAGCTCTGCTAAGAAAGAGGAGTGAGTATAAAAAAAGATGTGCAGAATACTGAGAGTGAATGGAATTTGGAAATGCAGCAAGTTTGCTGGGGACCACTTGAGGTTAGCAGGCATGGCTTCAAAGTGAGAACAGTCAGCATAATGTGTGTTTTATTCAAGGGCTTGGTGGAGGAGAGACAGAGGAAAACGTTTATTTTCATCAGGTTTGAGGTGTTGTCAAGTAAGTAAAGTGAAGCAAGAAAGAAACAAGGAAGTTGAGGGAGTAATCAAGAATTATAATGTGGTTAGATTCTATTTCTCTTTTGATAATTGTATTCGTTGATGTTTCCTTGTTTTCCAAACTACTTTTTTAAAGAAAACTTTGTTCAGGTTTCTCAGCAGAGAGTTGTTCATGGGAAGGTCTGTCACTGTGCCCTTGTAGAGACTATAGTAGCCACTTAAGCTGTTATCTTTAGAGCAAGCATGTTGTCTCGTAGACTTAACTTGTTTTTTCTAAAGCTTATCCCATCTCTGTTGTAGGTTATTTAGTTCAGTCCAGGTTTAAGAATTAGAAGACCACTGTCTTAGTTATTTGTTCAAGCTACTCTAACAGAATACCATAAAATGGATGGCTCATAAACAGCATAATTTATTGTTTATGGATTTGAAAGCTGGGAAGATCAAGGTCTGCCAGGGTTTGGTTTCTAGTGACTTCTCTTCCTGACTTGCAGATAGCTGCCTTCTCACTGTGTCCTCACATGGTAGAATGGACAAGGCAGCTCTCTGGGGCCTCTTTTATAAGAACACTATCTCATTCATGAGTGTTCTATCCTCATGACCTAGTCACCTCCCAAAGGCTCCACCTCCTAATACCATCACCTCATCACCTTGGGAGTTAGGATTTCAACATATGAATTTTGGAGGTACACAAACATTCAGACCATATCAACCATTTACCACATTGTAATTCATCGATGTAGGACTTTGTCACATGTTACTTCTCTAATGCCCAAACCAGCACTGAGTCAATGTTGCAAATTCTGAAATATTATGACTAAGAGCATTGAAAAATATGTGAGTAAATATTCTTAAAATGAAGCCAGAGTAATGAGCTGGTAACACAAAATTTCAGTATCCTTTTGAGGACACAGCAGGGAAAGTTTGTCTCAATAGGGCCTTTGCTCTAGTAAAAGGAGTTTGCAGACCTAAAATATCTAAGGGTGTGTGCCTTTCCTTTTGAATGGGCATTTTAGTGTCTGCAAAAATAGATGGTAACTTCTGTTGCACATGCACATTTGGAAGGAAGGTTTTTATAGTGCTGTTATGAATATGTGAAAATATAAAGTATATTAGTAATATTAAAAGATAATATCACCAGTATAAGTCATTACTTTGCCATGTATTCTGTTTGGACAGCTTTATAGAAAGCTCGATACTCATGTGATCTTAGTTGGTATGGAAATCTGGACTGACAAGGATAAGATAAACATAACCCCAGATGCAAACGTCACCTTGGAAAATTTTTCTAAATGGAGGGGGAATGACCTCATAAGAAGAAAACATCATGATGTTGCTCAGTTAATCACGTATGTATAGATTTTCCCTTTTGCATACTACATGGAGAAGCTTTCCAAAGCCTTGGAAAAGCTGAGTACACACATAGAGTATTAGAAGTTTAAAAACACCTACACTTGAATCATATGTCAAATATGCTCTTACTTTTGATTCAAATTTTTTTTTATAGAGAAGCCAATAATTTAGCAATGATTCATAAGATGTTTTTATTGGATATACAAGTTTAGATAATGGAAATACAAGTTGAGATAATGGAAAGAAGAATTTCAATTCAATGATTAAAAAGAACTGATTGGCTTTAGGCTCTAATTAGGCCAAACTTATAGGATAGAAGGAAAATTGAATATTATACTCTAACCCCACACCTCCACTATTCTGCTGAAATGATCAATTAAAAACAACAGGGGAAATGAATCTAATGGCTGTAATTCATAAGACTTGAGCATATGCCTCAAAAAAAAAAAAAATCAAGGAAGTGCTTCTGGATAGCTGGGTAGTATTTAGTTGGAATCAGAAGGAAGCAGCAAGGATTGACTTCAAGTTACTGGAGTGTCCCCTACTTAAGAAAGCAGTGAATGTTATGGAAAATCAGTGAGCTGTATCCTATCAGAATTAATTAATAGTTCCATGCTGGTCATCATCTATTCCTGCATAACAAATCAGCCCAGGTCTTCTGGGCTTACAATAAGGCTTCTTCACTTACATGCCTGGTGTCTGGGCTCATGTGGCTGGAGAAGTGGGGCTGGTTGGTGGTGACTCTCTACATACAGCCTTGTATGTGCCCAACTTGGATTTTCTGCAGTATGACAGGCTCAGGGGGTTGGACTTCTTGCAAGGTAGCTAGCTTTCCCTGGAATAAGCATGCCAAAAGGCCCAGGAGAATGCATGAAGGTTTCTTATGACCTAAAGCTACACAATATCACTATTGGTATATTCTCTTAGTCAAGGGCAAGTAAGTGTATGGCAACCTGAATTCCAGGGAAAGGCACTATCCAAGCTGTGAATACTGTAAAGCTAGCTCATCTGTGGGGAATAGCTGAGATAATTCCTTAATTTGGAAATGATGAATTCTAGACTCTAAGACACACCACAGGATGGAGCCCATTCTTTGTGGGAAGGTTTAGTGATTTTCCAGGGTCTCATAGCTAGTAAGAAGGAGGGCGCTTGAACTCTTACCACACTGGCTCCAGAGCCAAACTGTTATATATTTCCATATTGTAGATGTAGATTAATAGGGTAAAAAGATAAAACCCATAGACAAGATGATACATGTACAGGTAAAAAAAATGGCAATACAACATTGAGAGTAGGTTTCTTGAAGAGATAAAAAAAGATAAATGTACTAAAGATATGATAGAAGGAAATATTATCTGTCCTTCCATTTATATACTGAAACTCTTACCAATTACCAGACAAATTAGCAAAAGATACCTATACGTAGGTATAACCAGGTAAGAAGAATATTAGAGTCCAAATTTACTCTACCTACTGAAAAAAGAAACCAAAGTAGGTAACTCCAGAATGGAGGAAGGTGTTATTTTTTTTATAAATGAGCTAATGGTGAGAATTGAAATCACACAAATATAGAATTAAGTATAAATAACTTTACAATATGATTGCAAAAGGGATATAAATGTCATAAATCTTTAAAATATGTATAATGTAAAATATAATTTTAAAATAAATACTTGAAATCAGATTGAATAAAGAGATAAAATCTGTAGGGAGTCAAAAATGGGAGGAAGTTCTCTAATTTTCTTATGTGCATGTCAGAAGCAGTATTCACCATTCTTAATATTATTTTGTGGGAAAACATAGGTTCAATTTTTCATGTAAATGCATCTAGTGGAATTAAAAATTGATGCATACTTTGCAAATTTCTAGAGACAAATAAGGGCCAGAATCTTGCACAGAAAAAAAAAAGAACAAAAGGGAAAGAACATGACATTATTAAAAATCAATGAAAAAGAAACAAAAAAGTTAAAATTACTAATGACCAAACATACCATCTATATAAATAAGTGCAGATTGTCCAAATCCCTCTTCAATAGGAAAACTATTTGAATAACATAAATGCTCAATAACACAAATACTTTAAAAATGGGCCCAAACTGTAAATCTACTGTAGCTGAACAGTGCTAAAGAAAAACAAAATAAATTATATAAAAATATGTGAGTAAAATATAAATTAAAGCGTGTGTGGCAATAGTAATATCAAAACAAGATATATAGAGAGAAATATTTATTAAGACCAAAAAAAAGGGTTTCTTCTTCTTTACAAGAGATAAATTCCACAATAAAAGATATTATAATGATAGATATAAAATATTAAACATGATTACATTGAGGTGCTTGGATTTTACGTGATATGAGTGCCATTCTATAGAAAAAATGCCTCATGCAAAAACTGAAGGAAAAATTTATGAGTGATAGTTCACAGTATGAGCTTTTCTTCTAACTGTTTAGATTTCTGGATGAATTGTCTGTACAAAATACAGCATATAATCATCATTTGTTATATGAATCCATTCCTTTCAGGGCAACAGAACTTTCTGGAACGACCGTGGGCCTTGCTTTCATGTATACAATGTGCTCTCCTTATCATTCCGTTGGCATTATTCAGGTATGTTTGAAGATAAACTGTTGGTTCTATAATTTACAATTGCCAAAGGCTTTTTATTTTCTGAATCTCTGAAGAAAATTATTATAGTTTTTCTCCTTCAGTCTGTTAACATAGTAAATAACATTGATTGAATTTCAAGTGTTGAACTGATCTTGCATTCTAAGATAAACCCAACATAGTCATAATGTGCTATCTTTTTACATGTCATTTAATTCAACATGCTAAGGTATCTTCAGGGTCTTTGAATCTATATTCATGAGGGATATTAGCCTGTAGTTTTCTTTCCTGTAGTGTGTGTTTTTAGGTTTTGTTATCATAGTAAAGTTGGCTGTAGAAGATGAGTTGGGATATATTACCAATGCTTTGATTTTCTGAAATATTGGGGTAGAATTGGTATTATTCTTTCTCAAATGTTTGATACAATTCACCAGTAAAATCATATGGACGTGAAGTTTCCTTTGTGGCTAGATTTTTAATTTCTTTGTGGCTACAAATTTAATTTCTTCAATTCAGATTATCTATTAATATCTCTACTTGAGTGAACATTGGTAGTTTATGTCTTTAAGGAAAGCTGTTCATTTTTTAAATTTTGCACAGATGTGTTGATAATAGCCTTTATTATCCTTTTAATATGTATATAATTTATAGTGATAGTTCCTCTTTCATTCATGGCAATGTCATAATATTGTGTGTCCTTTTTTTTGCGGTCAGTCTGGCTAGGGGTTTATCAATTTTATTAATCTTCTCAAAGAAACAGTTTTTGGTTTTATCTATGCTCTCTATGGTTTTTCTGTTGTCAATTTTATTGATTTCTGCTCTTGATTATTTCCTTTTTATGCTGATTTTGCATCTAATTTGTCCTCGTTTAATGCTATTAATTTCCCACTAGGCACAGCTTGAGGTGCATCTGAAATATTTTGTGCTTTTATTTTTGGTTGTTTCAAAATATTTTCTAATTTCTCTTTTGATCTCATTTTTGACCCACATATTACATACAAGTGTAGTATAATAATTTCCATTATTGATATTTTGTATAATTCTGTTATGATTTGGAACATATTTGTAGAATTTTAGTATTTAAATTTTTTTTTTTTTATATTTGTTCTTGGTCAGTGCCCCATAGATACCTGTGTTTTTTGTTGTTGAATGGAGTATTCTAAAATTGTCAATTATGTCAAGTTAATTTATGTTGCTTGGATCTTTTATATCCTAAGGACAAGAGAGAATATTGGACTACCCAAGTATAAATTATAGATTTACCTAAATGTAAGACATGATACCACAAGAATTCTAGAATAAAATGTAGGAAAAACTCTTTTAGATATTGGCCTAGGCAAAGAATTTATGACTAAGACCCCAACGGCAATTACAGCAACAACAAAAATAAACAAATGGGACTTGATTAAATCTTCTTTTAATTATCAATATAGACATTTTTACTTCAGGTATTTTGAAGTTGGGTTGTTAGGTATATAGATAAGCACATTCATTATGTCTTCTTGGAGAATTGACACTTTCTTTATCATGTCATGATTCTGAAATATATATATGAAATATTTCTTGTTCTTAAGTCTATTTTGTCTAATATTAATATAGTTATTTTAACATTTTGTGACTAATGTTGCACGATCCATCCTTTTTTTTACTTTTATTCTTAACCAATATATTTCTTTACATTTAGAGAAAGTTTCTGGTAGAAAACAGGTACTTGGGTTTTTTACTTTTTTATCTAATCTGTCTGTCTCTTTTATTTGGTATATATAGAGCATTTATATGTAATATAATTATTGATATTGTTGAGCCAAAATCTTCCATCTAATCTTTGGGTTTTTGGTGTTTTTTATACCTTCTTTAAGATAAATTGAGTACTTTTCAAATAATTTTATTTATTTCCATTTTTAGCTTTTTATTGATAACATTTTATTTGTCTTTAATGGTTGATCTAGGGTTTATCATGCATCTCTACTTGTCAGTTTACCTTGAAATCATATTATACCACTTCACATGTAGTGTAAGGACTTTACAAGAGAATACTTCTAATTTCTTCCTCCAGTCTATTATGATATGTTTAACTTTACATACACTACAAACACACATACTAGTTTTGCTTTAGAGACTGTTCTTTCATTGCAACTTAAAAAATTTTTTTTATGTTTATCTCTATTGCATTCCCAGCACTTCTCATTTCTTTGTATAAAATCCAAGTTTCTATCTGGTATCATATTTTTTCCTTCCAGAAGAACTTTTACTTTTAACATTCCTTATAATACAGTAAATTCTTTCAGTTTTATTTGAGGATGACTTTATCTTGCTTTCATTTTGAATGTATTTTCACAGGCTCTTTGGATGTTTTGTACCCCCACCGGACTGGTGGATTCAAGGGAAGTTATAATTTTTAAGTTTATCTGCCTTGTTCTTGTTAGTGCAAGAATAGTACTTTTTCTAGATTTCTAGATTCTGGGTAGAAGTGGAACCAATATATTTTTATTGAATATCTTAAGAGTCTGAGTTTGTGATTCGCTTCATGGGATGAACAGAAGAAGCAAAATATTTAGTTTTGAACTTGAAAGATATAACCATAAAATTGGAAGAGAAACTGGCCTACTTAAAACATTTGTTCTAACATATGTAATAGTAGATAGTTTAGTGCTACATTACGGAGTCGAAAGTGATGGCAGGAATCAATAAGAGAGGATTGTTGATGGAGATGAACATGGCCAGGAAACATCACATTAAGATGGACCTCAATGGGAAAGCAGGGTCGAGAGGGGAAGAGGAATGGAGGTCACTCAAAGGGAAGAAACCATTAGTTAGGAAAATCATTATTTAAATGAAGAAACCCTAAATTGGAAGAAACTTCAAATAAGACAATCTGAAAAGTCTCTAAATGAATTTCCATTTTCTTAAGCTTTTTGGCTTGCATTTTTCCCCCATTTGGAGAGCTCCAAATTGCTATATAGTAGGGTTTGCCATGTTCGTCTCAACAGAATAAGAGAATATCCCAGGTGTAGGTAGTAGCTGCCCACTGTATACAGCTGTACCTCATTTGCCACTCTTGTGACACTTTTCATTGACCTTTACATTAGGTTCTTTGAGATGAAGCAGATGAGGGACTCAGGTGTCTGTAGCTGGATGTTACCAGCAGATTCCCATCTCCTCAATAGGAAACTATAACCAGCAGTGATTCTCCTGCTCCTGCATAATGTGCAGCTGCCAGTCCAAGCACTTCAAATCAGAAACAAGCTGGTGATGCAGTGAGCTATGGGCTGGACCTCGTGCAATGGGCCACGTCTGAGATTGACTGACGTCTAGTCTTGTCAGTAAAGGAATTGAGAAAGATGCCAACAGTGCTAAAGTGCTAGGTTAACAAACAATTTTAGATCCCTCTTGGCCAAACACATCAAATATTTCTAAAATTAATTTAGAAGTATTGAAAGGCAAGCCAAGGGGAGGGGAGATGGATCAGTTATCATTGCTGAAGATTTGGCATTATCTCTCAAGACAGAAAACCAGAACAATTTCTATTGTTATAGGAACCTACTCACTAGAACAAATGGCAGGCAATATATGCTGTGATAGCTATTCTATATCAAAGGGGTGTGTGTGTGTGTGTGTGTGTGTGTGTGTGTGTGTGTGTTTTAGAGAGAGAGAAGGGTGAGAAGGCTGGAGCTAAAATTGATTGTTCTGTTCTACTCTATTGGGCAACAGGAAGAATGATCATGAAAACCACAAACTCTGAGTTATGATTCCATTTGAAAACTAGAGAATCTGTTTCCCCATTCTTACCCTTAGGACCACAGTGGCAATCATCTTAGCGTTGCGGCAACAATGGCCCATGAAATGGGCCATAACTTTGGGATGTTTCATGACGGCTATCGTTGCAACTGCCCTTCTATAAAATGTGTGATGGACAGAGCACTAAGGTGAGGCTCTCTGGGAACATGATGGGTATCCTGGTTTGGGGCCACTCTGGGCTGTACCCTTCTTTAAGTCATCTTCAACAACATGTTCAAGTTTTTGGGTTTTTGAATGAACGTGTATCTTTGCCAAGTCACCATACCCCTCATCTGTGTGTAACAATGTCATTCACTAAGATGTAGTTATAGCACAATGTCTTTTCATTGTTGGGCCAACTGATCATTTTGTCCTCATCTTATCTACACAAGACTTGGTTTTGGAAAGTTATTAGCATTCATCAAGTTTCCCATGAATTCAGAATGGGTGGAAATAGGAAAAGGGTTCTAGGAGAAAACCCTAATTAAAGAAGAAACCTCTCACAGGAGGATGAAGATAGTCTGTGAAAAGAGAGTACACATTCTTGCCTTGCCTTTGGCAAAATTTCCAGTCAACCTTAACTTTGGAAATCTCATAATCTTTTTTTTAATTTTTCATTTCATCTTTTCTATTCATAGAACTCATTTTATGAATTCTGTTCATTTCCTCTTTTCTATTTGCATTTCCTCCCCCAGCCCACCTGAGCTAAAGTTATTCTCCCAAGCCCCTTCACAAAGTAGCATATGGCCGCATGCCAGTTACATAGCTTATGTTCCTCCTCCCCAATATCACTGCATTCTTAAACTGCATCTTTATTTGTGGGATGAAGAGATTTTGTCAATAGGAATTCCCCTAAGGGAAAGTGAATTCTCAGACATATAAATAAATACGATTTTGCTACCTTTAGGACTTCACAACCCCCAAATAAAATTTATCTGGAGAACTCAGAGGCATTCTTGTTTTATTAAAAGTGGCCAGGATGCTACACTTTGAAATATGACTGTATTTTCTCATAAAGCCAGAGGTGTTTGTTTCCACCCAGGTAAGTTAATTCAAACATGCAAAGAAGCCCATGATTTAGCAGTTGGTCAGTGGAGTGGGGGCAGGTCATGAGTGTCATTGTACCCAATGTCAGGCATTGCTCCCCACCCCCACCTGCTAAGCATGACTGTGTTTTATTTTTTCTTTTCTTATCTTTGCAGCTTCCATGTACCCACAGACTTCAGTTCCTGCAGCCGTGTCAGCTATGACAAGTTCTTTAGAGATAAATTATCAAATTGCCTCTCTAATGTTCCATTGCCTACAGATATCATATCCATCCCAGTCTGTGGAAACCAGGTGTTAGAAATAGGAGAGGACTGTGATTGTGGGATACCTGAGGTACTACCAAGCACTTTCTAAAATGATCTAGTTGTTTTTCAATTGCTACAAAGGTAAACTATAGAAGAATATGTGGCACGCTCTAAAATTGTATGTTTTTTGTCATTTTGGATGTAGGCATTTGTAGGTGTTTGTCCGACAAGGAACTTTGCTTAATAGAACTTGTTAATTTCCCTCTCAGAGTTCCTTCCCCATCCTTTTATTTTTAAGTACCATTTGCCATCTTGAGCTTTAGGTCCTCATCCCTCCCTTTCTGGCTGAAATACTGCAAGTTTCTTATGTGACTGTGACTTACTGAGCATCACTTTAGGCACGGCACTGTGGTAGTGCCCAGAGCATAAATAGCTTCCTAGCCCAAGGTCACAGAGCTGGCAAATGAAGAAGCCAAGATCTAGACGCAGATGTGTCTGTTTCCAGAGTCCTGGCTCCACCCAGCACAGGGATCTGGTGCATCTCTTGCTGCTGCAGAACTCAGGAGTTACTACCATTAGAAGTGCTGCCCTGACCCCATTCACGGGGCAGCTGGGATTCTGAATGGGACCTTTGCCACCCTCCTGCTAACACTTAATATGAGTCACACATCATGCCTTCAGGGGGTCGGCTTTCAGTAACTTTGAAATGGGATTACGAATTTACTCATTCTATGAGAAAGAGTAATCTGTCTCAGATGATGATTATATTTGAACTAAGGGCAAGCATTTTAACTCTGAAATGTTGTCACTTCAAAGCTGTCACTCTCCTATAGGAGTCTAGACAGCTGCAGGGGGAAGTTTCTGAGGTAGGAGTGTCTAAAAAGGCTTGTGCAGGCAGGTTTCTGATTTCTCAGAAACAGAGCAGGAAGACAAAGACAAAGTATATTGTTGCAAGCAGAGTTGAATTACACATCAAAGCTAGATAAAGAACTATGTCTTTAGGTTTTTGGTACATGTTCTAAACATTGAATTTACTGCTATATAGGTGCATAACTCATGAGCCAAACTAGTTAAGTTCTATTACTATTTAGATAAGTTTTATTAAAAAAAAAAAAAACCTGCCCTTTTTCATTTGTTTTCCTTCATAGTTTAGCAAAAAGAATAGGTCTTTTCTTGGTATTACTATTGGAGACTAGGGGAACAAAAAAAGATAATCAAGTTAAAAAAATAATAATAAGATGTAAGTGGAATTCAGATAACACACCAACAGTTGCTCCAAAATATCAGATTTTTAAATGTTGTTTTCTGTCATCTTTTATTTTCCTAAAAATCATTTTCAGACTATACCAAACTAATGTATGTGTGATGAATAAATTATATTACAAATTGTGCTGAAATAGGAACAAAAAGTAATCTGGCATCTGTATTTGTTTCTGATATTTCTTAGGAATGTACCAACATTTGCTGTCAAGCTGAAACTTGTAAAATCAAAGCAGGGTTTCAATGTGCATTAGGCGAATGCTGTGAAAACTGCCAAGTAAGATTATTATTTCATTTTAATAATTATAATGATGTATTTTCTATATTAACATCTCAGTGATTTAAATGAAATAGGCAAAGCATTTTTTCCTATAAAATAATATCATTTACCATTTATCAAGCACTCCCTGAGTGCTTTACATACATAACCTATTTATAATAATCTTCCAATGACCCTTCAAGGTGGGAGTTACCATCCCATTGTGCTTTTTAGGGAAAATGGAGGCTCAGAGCAGAAAACAGGCAAAATAACATGGCCACTATTTGTGACAATGTGGATGAACCTGGAGGACATTATACTAAGTGGAATAAGCCAGGGACAAAAAGACAAACACGGCATACCAATCTCACTTATATGTGGCATCTCAAAAAGTTGAATAGTTAAAAAAAAAAGTTGAATATAAACAGAGAATAGAATAGTGGTTACCAGGGTGGGGAGGTGGGGGAAATGGGGAGATGCTGGTCAAAGGCACAAAGTAACAGTTATGTAAGATGAATAAGGTCAGAGTTCTGATGTACAACATGATCACAATAGTAAATTGTATTGCATATTGGAAATTTGCTAAGAGAGTAGATTTCAACTGTTCTCACCATACACACACACATACACACACACAATAACTATGTAAGTATATATTAATTTGCTTGACTGTAGTAATTATTTTACTATGTGTATATTAAAACATCATGTATACCATACATATATATATGTATGTATATATATATATATATATATATATCATAACAAAAATTTTAAAATAAATAACACAGCCACTGTTTAGTGGGCAAACCCCAACACAACCAACTCCAAAGCCAATGTTAGTCCCTCCTGCCTACTGCTTCTTTTGATGCTTCATGGCCTTTCTGGGCCAAATTTCATAAAATTGATTGCACTTGCTTTTAACAATGTGATTGGTGGAAGAACTTTTATTTTGAACAGTGTGGGGCTGTCCTTGTCTTCAGGCTTTGAAGCCACTTCAGGGTAAAATTCTTAGAAATAAAATATACCATTTGAAAAAAATTTTCCTTCAAGGCAGAGTCCAATATTTTGCTTTCTTTCTTTCTTTTTTTTTTTTTTAATTTCGCTTTCTGTTGTTGCATAGCATTCTGTATTGTGATCATTTATTTATGTGTTTGTATCCTTAGTTATATTGACTTCTAAGGGCAGGAGATTGATTCACCTTCACCTAGAATAGAATTTCATGCATTTTAAATGCTCAGTAACTGTTTGTGGAATGAATATGTAGATGGCATACCATGTTATAGGTAGTGTTTGGTATATATATATATATTTTTTTCTTTTTTAAATGTCAGAGGGAGAGGAAAGAAATAAAGGAAGCCAAAAGGAAGTAAATTTGAGAACTTAAGTAGTAGTCAACAAGTGTTTAGTAGGTGCTATTTGTTAGAGATTGTAGTAAATAAAAAAATTCAATCTCTTCCTGTTTATTTCCTCAGGGCAGTGATAAACACATATATGAAAGAGATGAAAATATAGTGCATGATTAGATGCCCATGTTGACAGCATAATGATATACAATATTTTCCATGTATATCCTCCCTTAATTTTCACAATAACCTTGTAAAGTAGGTGTTAGACGAAGAAATGGATTTTTAGAGAAATCAAATCCATTTCCTAATGTTAAGCACCTAGCCACTGGCAGAGCCAAGATTCAAATCTGTATCATATAAATCTGAAATCATAGCTCTTCTCCAGCACATGGAGGAGTAAGCAGGAGCAGTGACTTGCATTTAAGAGGTCAGAGGAGGCTTTGTAGGAAGGGAGGCTTTCAACTGGCCTGGAAAAAAAAATGAATAGATTTTAGATTTAGGAAAACAAGGAACGAATTTCCAAATGAGGACAGAGAAAGAACAAAGACGTAACAAAGGTCCAAGCATGGTTTGTGGCAGCTGGTAAGAAAGCTGGTGTGGCTGCAGCAATGGGGGTTGAATTTGGAGGGTCTCATATGCTCTGATTGAAATTTGCATTTGATGCTGTAACTGGCGTAACCATATTGAAAGTTATTTGGTGCAATGAGAGGATGCCTGCTAGGGAAAGAGCCTATCAGCTGGGGAAAGACATGCTGCCTCAAATTTGTAGGAATGGCAGAATTTGTTTTACTAAGATTTCTCTGAGGAAATAAGAGTAGGATCTGCAATAATAGATTACTATGGAGTTAATATTGCAAATGAATATTAGGTTATTTCTCCCTCATAGGAAGAAGTGAGTTGAAAAGAAATATCTGAACATACAATAAAAGGAATTAAGGATTAGGAAACTTGAGGCCTGGGAAAGTCTCAGAGTATGCTGCTCTGGTGCTTGTAAACTTATCTTCCTTAATACTTCACCAATAAATCTCTGAAGTTGCAGATTTAAATCTCCCTGAAATTCCCTACAAAGATGCATTCAACAAAGGGAAAAATAACTTCCTTCTTTGTATCTAAGTTGTTGCTTGGTTTTTCTCCTGTACTTTTCTACATTATGTTTCTTTGCTTTTTGTGCTACAAATTCAGAAATATTGATTTAAAAGGCTTAGGGCAATGGTCAACATCAACAGAAGTAATAGGCAATGCCTTCAATTTATACAATGCAAATATAAACTGGAGTGCAATGATGCCTCCAACTTCCATGCCCAAAAAGGCCAAAGGGAAAGTATTATTTGTGTCAGTTTGTGGTATTGGGGCAAAGCAGGGGGGTGAAAAAGCCTCCTCTCTGGTTTTATTTTCCTACAGTTTAAAAAGGCTGGGAAGGTGTGCAGATCAGCAAAAGATGACTGTGACCTGCCTGAAATGTGTGATGGTAAATCTAACCATTGTCCTGAGGATAGATTCCAGATCAATGGCTTCCCTTGCCAAAATGGGATGGGCTACTGCTTGATGGGGACGTGTCCCACACTGCAGGACCAGTGCACTGGGCTCTGGGGACCAGGTAGGAGGACAAACCCCTCTCTCTATGCACATGCAAAGAAAAATCATTTCTGATGAGAATGTATTATCACGGCCAAAGGACCATTCTGTCCCCTTCTTCCTAGATGCTTCTTACTCAAAGTTATGTATAAATTCATTTAAAGACTTAAATTTGGTTTCAGGGTTGCTAGATGTAGCAAATAAAAAATAATGATGTTAATTTCAGATTAACAACAACTTTTTGTTTTAATGTCAGTATGTCCCATGCAGTATTTGAGGTATACTTACACCATACAAAAATCCTCTATGTATCTGAAATTCAAATTAAACTGGATGTCCTGTGTTTTATCTGGGAACCCTAACTCAGATCCTTTTCAGACAAGTAAATCCATGGAATGTGTGCGTGAATGTGTGTGTGCATGTGTGTGTGTGCGTGTGTGTGTGTGCATGTGTGTGTGTGTGTGTGTGTGTGCAGAAGGGTGGCAGGAGTGCTGGGGGATGGGCCAGAGGTAAGGAAAGGAGGAGAAATTCAGGAGAGCAATGAAGAAAAGTGAAAGTTCTTCAATGACCACTTTGTCCAGAATATCGCAATTTTAGAGATTTTATTTTCTGATTACACCATAAAGAGAACTTCAAAAATATGAGTTTAATTTAAAGATATCCCGAAACTTTAAACCAAAATTTAAATTATATTCAATGATTGCATTAGAAAGGCAATTTTAGATCACATGAGTGATCTCATTTATAGGTGGAATCTAAACAAGTAGCATTCATAGAAGTAGAAAGTAGTATGCTAGTTACCAGGGTGTTGGAGGAGGAGTTGGGAAGGTGCTGGTCAAATACAAAGTTCCAGTAGAAAAAGAAAAAGAAAGGCAATTAAAGAATTTCCTGGATATGATATGCGTTGTATACATGTATTTAATTGTCAGACTCTTTCCTGCTACAATTTCAGATTACTACTTAAATGGCTGAGAGAATATTTACTAAAATAGAGAAAATCTACATATTTTTAAATATATTTATAAAAAGTCATTACATTCCAGAAACTTTTCATAATTCCTGAAAATAGGCCTACAGCAAGATTAAGGAAAGGAACAAAAATCCTTGACTCACAGTACACCCAGAAAAAAAGAAACCTGGGAAATAATTGGACAAGACCTTGGAAAACGGTCTCAATAAAACCTTCTGTGTCTAGCAAGGGTGGGCTAAGATGCATTTGAGGAGCAGAGCTCTATACTGTGAGTGCATCAGGACGTACACTGATAGGTTGGAACTGGGCCTCAGTAATGCTGCTTCCACTTTGTGCAGATGGATATGCTAAATTCAAGTGGAGACAGAATTAGTGTTGCTGGTTAAAGATCCTATGCCTTGTTACCTAACTTCAGCATTTGGCAAAACCTGGGGAAAGGAAATCTTTAGCACAGAGGTGAAACTCTGAGCATTTCCTTTATCATCTTATATTAAATGACTGCAAAAAGTGTTACCTGTTATCTCTGTTTGCCTGATTCTATTGTCTCCTTTGCAAGTCTGCAAAATTCTGATTACAGGGACCCTTTCTACTTTGTTCACAGCTGTAGTCTCATCATTTCCTAGCATAGTGCTTGCTTGCCTTTATCAAACGTTCAAAATTACCTTTTGAATTAACATGGAATGTATTTATCTGATATTGAACTAGGGAAGACCTTTTTTCTTTTCTTATCTGTAAATTTTTTATTTTTTTATTTTTCGGCATATTATGGGGGTACAGATTTTAAGGTTTCAATAAATGCCCATTCAATAAATGCCCCCCCCTCCCCCCAAAAGTCTGAGTCTCCATCATGACCATCCCCCAGATGGTGCACATCTCACTCATTATGTATGTATATGCCCGCCCCCCTCCCCCCTCCCACCTGCCCAATACCCTATTACTGTAGTACCTATGTGTCCACTTAGGTGCTACTCAGTTAATACCAGTTTGCTGGAGAATATATCTGGTGCTTGTTTCTCCATTCTTGGAATACTTCACTTAGTAGTATGGGTTCCAGCTCTAACCAGGAAAATATAAGATGTGCTATATCACCATTGTTTCTTAGAGCTGAATAGTACTCCATGGTATACATATACCACATTTTATTAATCCATTCTTGGATTGATGGGCACTTGGGCTGTTTCCACAGCCTTGCAATTATGAATTGTGCTGCTATAAACATTCGAGTGCAGGTGTCTTTTTTGTAGAGTGTCATTGGGTCATTTGGGTAGATGCCCAGCAATGGGATTGCTGGATCAAATGGTAGATTCACTTGTATCACTTTAAGGTATCTCCATATTGCTTTCCACAGAGGTTGAACTAGTTTTCAGTCCCACCAGCAGTGTAGGAGTGTTCCTCTCTCTCCGCAACCACGCCATCATTTATTGTTTGGAGATTTTTTGATAAAGGCCATTCTCACTGGGGTTAAGTGATATCTCATTGTGGTTTTGATTTGCATTTTAGGGAAGACCTTTTAAATCATACATTTAAAGGCAGCCATTATAAAAGGCCAGAGAAATAGATTTGCCTGAATAAAATTCCAAGTTTTATAATCCATACAAAATCATAAATTTATTTTAAATCTGAAAAGTTTGAAAAATCTTGTAAATTTATAAGTAGTCAAAAAAATCACTCTTTTTAGCATCAAATCATCCCTGCAAATGAATTATAAATTCCAAGTATTGAAAGTATAGCCAAGATATAAGCAGGCAATTCATCATGAAGAAGAAATATAAATGTCTAATAAAAGTTAAAATCATTTTAACTCACTAGCAATATAAGAAATATGAATGCAAACAAGTTAATCTTCTACATATGTTAACTGGTAAAGGTTTGCTATGGATGTAATGCTCAGTCAATGAGGATGTAACAAAATACCTAGTTTCATGCACTGTTGGTGAAAATAGGAATTAGCATAATCTTTACAGATATAATTTGGAAAAATGTAAATACAACCTAAAAAAAATGCTTTGTACTTCTTGTCCTAGCAATTGTACCCAGAAATATTTATTTACAAGAATACTTAAGTCATTATTTTTTAAATGATAGTGGATAATTGGGAAACCACCTCAAAAACCAAGAGTCATGATTAGTCAAATAAATTATAGTGTATTAATTCAATGCTATTCTTGCAGCTATGATGTTGTAGAATGTTTGATGCCTGGGGAAATGATATTGAGCATATTGTTAATTGTGGAAAAGTAAGTTATGAAGCAGCATGGTACCAGGTATATGAATGATACTTTCTTCAATATTAGCAGCAATAACTCTGAATATGATGAGATTAGGAATGTCATGCTTTTCCCTGATAATTCATGGCTAATTATTCCTTTTTTCAGTGTAGATATTTTATTACAATAAGAAACTGATAAATGTTACCAAAATACAAATAATCAAAAAATGTGATAAGACTCATTTTATCATCTTGAACATTAAAACATGAAATCATCAGCATAATAAGGTTAAGAATGTTTCTTGAAAACAAATGCAATAGCCTCCTAGGTTTTTGGTTACTTTAACCTGATTTGTTGTTTGTCAAAGACTAAATTCAAAATTTCTGGTGGTTAAGACCAAGTTGTTTATTGACCTTTAAGCAGGGCAGCCCAGCATGGAGAGGGAACATAGATCTTCAACCCAGATAGAATTGGGAATTAAGTTGACTTTTCATCTCTTTTTCTCTAACTTAAGTCTTAGTTTCCTTATTTAAAAAAATAAGAATGACAATATTTGTCAACCACATACTACTGACCAGACACTGTTCTCAGTGGCTCACAAATATTAATTGATTTAGTCTTCACAACAACCCTATAAGGCAGGAACTATTGTATATAGAGAGGTTAAGACACTTGACCAGGTTCACACAGCTGCTCAGTCTTCCTTAAAGCCTGAGCTCTTAACCACTGTGTTTTGTTGTCCATCTGATGGAGATCTGAGGATGATGACATGAGACATGAAATATGTGATGCTTATTGCTGTGCCTGGCACATAGTAGGAGTTTGATTCAGCAGAGCCCATAGTTGTCACAGTAGCATATACCTGCAAAGTAGCCTTTGAGTATTCATCTGCCTATAGGCTGTTGACATAATGACCGTAGCTCTTCTGGCTAAGTCTTCCTGTTTAGATAGATTTTTAACCTCTGGTAAATTATACAGATGTTTCAAAAAAATGTAGATAGCCATTATCCAGTAACAGAATATTTAAAAGAATCTTTTTAATTCCAGCTAGTTCCTTTGATGCCAAATTATTGCAGCCTATATTTCTGAGAGTGGTTAAGCTAAAATAGTACATTTCACACTGGTTTTATATTTACAAATCCTTTGCAGCCCTGAATTTATCTCTTTTCTTTCCAAATATGTCCCTACTGACCATGCCTGGTCCCAGGAAGTGAGGTTGCAGATAAGTTATGTTACAAAACGAATGAACGTGGATTAAAGTATGGGTATTGTCACAAAGTGAATGGCACGATCATCCCCTGCAAAGCTAAGTAAGTGGACTTGTATGAGCCTTCCTGCTCCACAGACTAGGGCAGTGGTACACACTTTCAGCCACACATTCTGAGTTAAAGGGAAAGTGACTTTGGACATCAATTATTTAACAAATATTTATTGAGTGACTACTATGTGCCCTGTTGTGGGCTAGGTGGGCTTGTCTAAAAAGACAAACAAGAAATTATCTCTTTCTTCAAGTCCCTCATGGTGGATGCTTCAGGCTATGTACAAGTATAGTCCTTAGGTGGCACCATATACTGTCATTAAGAAGAATGAATGTTTGAGATGAAACATGCAACAAGGAATAGGCCTGGTTGGAAATTTTGCCAGAGGTTTCCCAGAATATGCTTTGGGTGATTTTTCAATCTAGTGTTTTTCATTATAAGTCTAAGAGTAGAAATATTTATCTACTCAGAGAAATAACTAATACAATTCTTGTATAGTTTTATTTAAACTTGCCATGGAATTACATAAAGAAAAACTAGAGCAAGAGAAAAGATTGACAATTCACCTAAAGAGTTTGTTATTTGTAGTATTGATATCCTGGGGAAAAAAATGATAGAATATCATGCCAAATGAACTTGAGATTTTTCTATACCTTTTTTATGTTGCAGTTTTAAGATGGCTTTTAAGATTCAAATTATAATAGATTAAACTTTGTATCTGCTACAAATTTTACACGTGCAAAGTAATATATAACAAGAGATTGAGCAAAATCAGCATTTCCCTAAGTTTTTCTATCAGACACTAATTTTGCTGGATGATGGACAATACCAAACAAAACTATACTTTGAATATAGTTTCATCTCTTGGGGGAATCTGGACCTACAGGACGACCATATCCTGTATAGGAAATCAGGGTAGATTAAAAGAGGAAAAATCTGTGTAAGGCAATATGTGGGGTCAGGAGAAATGCAATGTGTAAGTGGTGATTGGAAAAAGAGTAGGGTAATTCCATCCAACCTCTGCAGACTGTGCACACACTCTTGTCCTGTATAGCTCTCTGCATGAGCATTAGATAACGTCTATGACTAAAGGCTCGTGCATCTCCTTCACCCCACAGACTACCCTGCTAGTCTTAATAGTCAATGGTGGCAGTGGAGAGTTAGCATGAAATTCTCTGTGCCCTTCGGCCATAGTTAGAGGGCTTTTCCTAAATGATTCAAGAAAACACCTTCTCACATTTGGAGAGAGTGCATTCCTTTCTCCACTCCTCTAACATATTTTCCACAGCCACCAAAGACATCAGAAAAATATGACTCCCTCACTTTCAGAATACTTATTCAAAGCCCTCCTCTGAATTCTGCATGAAGCAATTGACTCCAATTTTACTGGCTTTGACTTTATTCCCCTTTGTGGTAAATGAATGGCTTTATTGAGTGTTGAGTGGTTTAATCTGTAGATACAGGGAGATAGTTCTTTTGGTAACCCCACTTGATGCCTTGAAATGTCAGGAGATGCTCTGCTTTGTATTGACAAAACTCTAGTTGAGAGATGGGCTTTTATCTGTTAAAATTATTTTGCTACAAGTCACAAAAATAAATACGTAGCATTATGTGAAACAAAGTAGAAACAGATTTCTCAGGTGCCCTCCAGGATGTTAGAAATGGGTCCTGTTTTGTCTTCTAGTTTCATCATATATATGACCTACCTGTCCAAGTGTTTCTTTAATCTATGATGGCTTCTCCAGGACCAGCTATCACACTCCAATCAGCAAAAATGAGAAAACATTAAGGAATGGATGATACTTTCTCATTTAAGGCCACCCTTTGAAATTTGCACTTAAGATTCTCTTTCTTTCCCATGGGTCAGAACTTAGGCAATATACAAAAACAGTATACAGGGATCAGGGAAATGCTGTTTATTTGACCAACAATGTATTTTGCTAACATTCAGGGATCCTATTGCTAAGGAAGAAAGGAAAAATGAGTATAAGGTACAACTAGAAGTCTCTGCCGCAGAGAGAAATCCCATTAACTACATATGGATAGTCATAGAGATGATTTGCTTTTGCGTAACAGAGTGCAGTTTCAATCCTGAAATACATTTTGGATTTTCCTCAGCGATTCTATATGTGGGAAGTTGTTCTGTCATGGTGGGTCAAATTATCCACTCTGGAGAGGACGTATAATAACTTTCCTGGCATGTAAAGTATTTGATCCTGAAGACATAAGCCCAGAGATAGGCATGGTGGCCAATGGAACCAAGTGTGGTGACAACAAGGTATGTTTTGTTGTTTAGCTTCTCAGCTACTCCCTACTTTCCTTATTTCTTACTTTTGGGGTTCACCATGCCTTAAGACAACAGAGAGCTGAATTTGGAACACAAGGAACAACTAGGTGGAGAACCTAGTATAAAGCAAGAATAAGCATTGCTGTAAATATTCTCAAACATTATGGTGAAATTTGGAAATAACTGTCATAGAGATAATTTCAAGAGGAGTATGTTATTGCCATGTGATAACACATAACAGCATATGTTTTGCTTTCACAGACTAGTCTGGAATCCCACTGAAAGTGCCAGTGTATGTAATACTGGGCTTCAATTAACAGATTTGTGCAATCATTAGGAATATAATGAATTCACAATCTTGGGCACAAGTACTGCTTAGCCAGGGCCTACACATGAGCTTTGATAATGAAGAGGTTCCTCTCTCAGGGAGATTAGTAACTCTATGTATTGCATTAATATATCTACATGACCTAAAATCAGCTTTCCTGAATTTTCATTATGGCAAAGCCAATCCTGACAATTTTATCTTATTTACTTAACCTGTATTGGCTATTTAAATATAAATATATTTACTGATGAGTCTACAATTGGTGGTTCAGTATAGATATTGCTCATAAAAAGTTTTGGAAAGGAAATATTAAAAAACAAGTAGGATTGACATGACCTCTCAGCCCATAGAGCTGAAAATGTAAATGTGGAAATGTTTATAACATTTATGCTGCTGATTTGAAATTGGAATGTTAGTTCTTGCCTCCAAGAGGTTCTCACAGGATTTAACCTCCTTCTTTTACCCCAGTGTTTCCTGAAATACATGCCAGCAACAAGGGCAAGAAATTTCACATACAGTAGAATTCCTTAATTGGAGTTTCCAGGTTTTGAATATTAATTCAATTAGTACTAATTTCTTGTCTAGTGGTGAAACTTTCAAGGACCTTAAGACATCCTCACGTGACCTGGCTTGAGTGTTGCAGTGCTCGGGCCTTAAGGAGTAGGGATACTTGGACCAAGGCAGAATTTGGGTGTGCCTGGGTGCCCTGGCATTATTATCATTACTTATCTCTTAGCTTCTTGTATAGACATTCATTCTGAGATACAGAGTGGTTTGGATTTTTTTTTACACATAAATGCTTAAATAGACTTTATCAACATTTTGGGGTTGATTTAACAAAGGGAATACCATGAGCAACAGAGTCCATCTCCCTCTCTCTTCCCCTGCACCTGCTCCCCACCCACACTGACACGATGATGAGGCTTATGCCTCTTTACCTCCTCCCAGGACACTTACATGCTGGAGCCATTTTAAACAGTATCTTTTAGCCTCTTGACATATATCTCGCCTTTCTCATCTACATCCAGAGAGAAGCAATTTCAAGGCCTGTATTTCTTTATTCAACACTTGTTTGCATGACTTCTGCTAGTCACTCCATTTCGCTTTTTTTCTTCTTAATTACAAGCTCTCTTCCCCCTCCTTTAATCAGATATATAATTTGTTGTTGATTTTGTAATATTTATTTTCTTACAAATCCTGCCACACTCTAATAGCACTTCATATGCTGTTATCAGTTAGGAGGCTTTAGGCTGCAGAAGAACAGAAAACCAACTAAAATGGACTTAAACACTTAGGACATTCATTAATTCACATAACCACAAGTGCAGAGATAGAGGAAGACCACGTGGTTAATTCAGTGGTACAACAATATCATAGATTACCTGGGTTCCTCCTGCCATCTTCAGTGCATGCCCACTCAGACTGCCAAACACTCACGGGCCAGGATTGCTGCCCACTTTCCAGGTAGTAATGTCAGAGGCAGAAAGTGAAAGAAAGTGCATCTTTCTTACCAGGGAAGAAAGTTTTCTTGGAAACACTTTCCACCAGATTTGATATCACTTTTTATTGCCCAGAATTTTATCATTCACCCATTCTTAAACCAATACCTGACAAGGGAAAAGGCATTACCACAGTTGGCCTAGGGTCATTAAAATTCACCCTTAGAACTAAAGAAGGCTCCATTTACACCATGAAGCACATGAATGTCCCATTTATTAATAAGGTCAGACATCTTCTGGCAAGTAGTGCTATCTGCCATGCATATTAAACAATTTGAATTAGGAACAGAAGCTTCAATAAATTTGGATGTTTAATGTTGAAATTTTCACATTTACTTTTAGCAGTAGAATCTTTCATTTAAATGAAATCCTATGAGGAAGCCCAAATGCACAAAATAAATAAAAGCAGAGCTGCTCTAGGAAAAGGGGTATAGGAAGGGCACCAAATTCCAAACCTGTGGATGCCTCCTTGTGTTCCATGGAGGACAGTTTTCAAAATAATTCTTTTGACATTTATTTAGGCATGCCTGAAATCATTCCTTCAGTAATATTTTAATACATGCTTATGATGTGGTCAGCACTAGGTTGTTAAACTTTACCAATTTTAATGTTCAAAAATTGATATGTTCTCAATATCTGATAGACACTCTGATGATAATAAAGAGAAAAATAGCAATGCTATTTATTTTTACATAAATTATAATTATTTTAATATTGCACATGATGTGATAGCATGTATTTTCCATAATATATTTATTTGGCATGGCCATCTGATATTATGTGCAATGCTTAATTCAGTGCTAAGTATTAGTCTTAAGTGTTAGACTGAAGTGGTGGATTCAATGCATGATCCATGAGAAATGAACTAAAGGAAAGAAATCTTTAAAGAATGCTTTCTAAATATTTTATTATAAAATTTATCAGATTCTATCTTCTGTTTGCAAAAAAACCTTGATTTCCCTAATAAAAAGGCGAGTTTGATAATAATCACAGTGACTAATAGTATGAGATTAAATTCCAAAGAGTCAAGCATTCGCAGAGCTGAAGCCATTGGACATTAATATCAGCTACATGTTTTTCCAACAACTTTCAGGTTTGCATCAATGCAGAATGTGTGGATGTCGAGACAGCCTACAAATCAACCAATTGCTCATCTAAGTGCAAAGGACATGCTGTAAGTTTTGAAGATATGTTTCCCCACACTTGCTAAATCTTATGTAGTTTTAGATAAGGCATGATGAAGCTAAAGTAATATTTTCAGCATTAAATGATTAGAATTATTGAATTTGTCCAACGCCCCTCTAGTAGCATGGTTCAATGAGAAATTTCTTCTGAGATCGTGCTGAGGAAATTGCTGTGATTGATTCATATCTCATGTAGATAGATGATAACCTGGAAATCATTAGTTATTTAGGTTTCAGAATGGATTGTATTATGGAAGAACTGGGCCTTGGAGTCTGTGGTCAGTCTAGTGAGAAAACTAACAGGATCATTGCTCCTGCAGGTATGTGACCATGAGCTCCGGTGTCAGTGCAAAGAAGGATGGGCCCCTCCCGACTGCAGTGACTCTTCAGTGGCCTTCCGTAGGTCATGTTTTACAAACTTCTCCGTCCCTCCATTGCTCCTAGGAGAGATTCTTGGAGATATGTCCTAGGGGCATGAGTCAATCTTGTTCTGTATACACTGGGGATGAGATGGATCTGAATGAACTCTATGCTCCCAATTCCGATTCTTTGGCTTTCTAAAAAGAGAATAGCATTTACTTCTGATGTTTTAGGCTATAATTTACTCTGTTTCTGTCTATATAAATCCCTTAACTTCCTATTTATGTGGAGTTTAAAAAAATTCTTTATTAATTTTCCTAGTGCTTTACGATTTTATTATATACATACATGCATATTTGTCATGTATTTGCATAGGGTAGGGGGATAGATGTATGAACATAATCAACACCTTTAATTAGAAAACTCTTTAATGGTTTCAGTGCTCACTAAAAATCCTTTTAAACTATGACATCTTTCTTCCTGAACTCTTTCTTTTGGTTTACCCATTCATTGATTTGCTAAATCACTTCTATGAGTAATTTCTTCTTTATGGAAGGATGTGTATACATTAAACTTTCTTTGCATTTATGAGAATTTATTTCTGCTGCTGACTATTTCTATTAATATTATATATCATAGAATAATATAGCAGGTTGCATTGGATGACATTTCTTTAAATCACAATTTTACTTTCATAATTCTGTTGAAGGGGATGCTGATATTTAATGTTAAAAAAACCAAGGCCAATTGTTGATCTTAAATAAAACCCTTTAAAAATCATTATGTTTTGAGTGCAATCTGCACTGTCTGGGGGATGGACACGCTTGAAGCTCTGACTTGTGGGGGAAGGAAGGGGCAAGGGCAATATACGTAACCTAAACATTTGTACCCTCATAATATGCTAAAATAAAAAAATAAAAATAAATACACCTTGAAAAACACTAAAAACAATCATTATGTTTGTTTTTGCTTAGATGCTTTTATAATTATTACTTAATGAAAACTAATCATATACTCTATTCCTGAGTTCCCTTATCTTTCTATTATGTTGTAAACTTCTGAGGCCTTTCAAATTGAGGATTTGGTTCTGTCTCCATTTCCAGGAGTGTTGCTATTATTATAGGTTTTAAAATTGATTCTGTTCTACTTTTCTGGTTTCTCATTCCGAAATATAACTTATTCATACAAAATATCTCTACTGCATGGCCTCCATATTATCTTCTTTTCTTAATTTTTCTTGTGAATTCTGGGAAAGTCTTTCAAAGTCATTCTCTATATTATAAAATGAGTTTTTTTGGCATTGTTAATTCTCTTATTTATTACTTAAAATGACATTTAAAAATATTCGGTAACATTTTTGTATTTCTTTGAACAACTTTCATACCAGTATATTGTTTCCTCACCTTATAATGAGTTTTTTAATAGTCTATGTTTCAATTTATCAAGTACCCTAAATTTACTTTGATTTTTTGTAACTTTTTTCCTGAAAGCATATTTTTTTATATTTTTTATTTCAGCATATTAGGAGGAGTACAAATGTTTAGATTACATATATTGCCTTTGTAATATATTTTGTTTGCTTAAGGTACCAATTAGTTGCCAGGAGTGTTAAAATCCCCCAATATAATTGTGAATTTGGTTATTACTTCTTCTGGTTCTATCAGTTCTTAAATATTTTGCAAGCATATCATTATGTACATACACATTTAGAATTGTTATAGCTTCCCAGTGAATTAACACTTTATCATTACGAAATGATCTTGTGTATCTCTAGTACTGCTTCTTGCCTTTTAAAATCTGCAATCCCTAGAGATGAGTATATCTGTAACATATTTCTTTTGGTCTGTGTTTGTACTAGTATAATATTTTTTCATATTTTTACTTTTATTCTTTCTGAAGTATCATGTTTTCAATATCTTTTATCTTTAAAAACAAGTAGGCAAGTATATTTTTTAGTTTTCATCTCATATCTTTGGTTTTGTTTTGTTTTGTTGCTTGTTTGTTTAACTGAGGCCCTAATTTAATTTAAATTCAATGTAATTACTGATATTTGGGTGTAAATCTAGTTATATAGTTTCTTTTCATATTTCCTGATCCTGTTTCTTTTCTCTCCCTTCTTGCTTTCTTATGAACTTATAGAGTATTTTAATTATTGTATTTTTTAATTAACTTGGAGGTTATGCATTTCTTTTATATTCTTTTAGTGGTTATCTTAAAACTTCCCATTTCATTTGCTTTTTTAGAAAATAGACTTTATTTTGTAGAACAGTGTTAGGTTCACCGCAAAACTGAACAGAAAGTAGAGTCCACATAAACGCCCTCCCACATGCACACACAGCCTCCCCCACTATCAACATCCCCCACCAGCGTGGTACCTTTGATATAATCCATAAACCTACCTGGATACTTCATTATCACCCAAAGCACATAGTTTAGGCTCGTTCTTGGTTCATTTGCCTTTCATTTCTTTATGCATTTCTTTGAACTTCTGTCTAGGATCATTTTCCTTTCTGTCTTTCTGGGTTCCTGCCCTCTCACTAATCTGTAGAAATTAATCTCCCCCTCCCCTTTTTTAAAGTATTATATGCTATTAGGAGACCACTATTACCAGAAAAAGAAGAAGCTGCACATACTCTTCAATTATTTCCTTCTCCAACTGCAAACCTGCTTCCTGTTATTAAACTCCCATCTGTCATATGCTCTAACTTTACCTCTAGACCATAACCTTTCAAATTAGGGGTATTTATGAAATGCTGTCAAGTCCCCCTTCATTTCCTCTGCTATCCTATCATTCTTCTAAAAATATCTACAATTCTTACATTAGTACAAGTACATATACTGTTTCATTCTGAAGATATCTACACTGTATCTGACAGCAATACCTCACAGTTTTATTTTCCTTTGAGTTTTGGGGAGTAAGAATTTTTTTGGGGGGGTAGAAAGTATTAAATATTTGAACTAAAATCATTATCTTACCTAAAATTCTACTTCTGATGTGTCAACCTCTATCTGTGCATAGTTGCTCAAACTTGTGAACTTTTCTTGCACTTATACAAAAATTAATCTTGTCGGTTTGCTGAACTCTGTAATAAGAAAGTGGTAACTGTTTACATTGCTCTCCAAACTTGTACCTTCTGGTCTCTTGTGGTTTCAAATTATTATAAGAAAAATGAGCACCTGAGATAGCAAAAGATCGAAGTTGCAATCCTTACTTAGCTTAGTCAGTAGAGAGAACACCATATAGACCCAGGAATATTTGTTCAAACCATTCCCCAATCTACAAGGTCACATAACTTTCTTTCTGTCCATAATAATTCCAACATAAAGCAATCACAACAGCAACAAAAATAAACAAATGGGACTTGATCAAATTAAAAACCTTCTGCACAGCCAAGGATACTGTCCTTAGAGCAAATAGACAACCTACAGAATTGGAGAAAATATTTGCTTTCTACATATCCAATAAAGGGTTGATAATAAGAATCTATATAAAACTTACAAAAAATCAACAAGAAAAAAGTCAAACAACCCCATTAATAAATGGGCAAAGGACATGAACAGAAACTTTTCAAAAGAAGACAGAATAATGGCCAGCAAGCATATAAAAAAAGTGCTTAACATCTCTAATCATTAGGGAAATGCAAATCAAAACTACAATGAGGTATCACCCAACTCCAGTGAGAGTGACCTATATCAAAAAGTCCCAAAACAACAAATGCTGGCATGGATATGGGGAGATTGGAACACTTTTACACTTGTGGTGGGACTGCAAATTAGTACAACCCCTGTGGAAAGTAATTTGGAGATACTTCAAAGAACTAAAAATAGAAATATCATTTGATCCAGCAATCCCACTACCAGGCATCTATCCAAAGGAAAAAAAGACATTCTATAATAAAGACATTTGTACTCAAATGTTTATAGCAGCACAATTGACAATTGCAAAGATGTGGAAACAATCCAAATGCCCATCAAGACATGAGTAGATTAATCAAATGTGGTGTATGTATACCATGGAGTACTACTCAATTACAAAAAACAACAGTGATCTATCACCTCTTATCCTGGGTAGAGATCGAGCCCATCCTACCAAGTGAGGTAGCACAAGGATGGAAAAACATGTACTACATGTACTCGCCATCAAACTGGTACTTATTGATCAACACTAGGGTGCTTATATGGTAATAATATTCACTGGGTGCTGGTGAGGTGGGGGGGGTAGAGTGGGTGGGTGGGAAAATCCACAGCTAATGGAGATGGGGTGCATTGTATTGGGGGAAGGACAGACTTGTGGCCCTGGCTTGATCGAGGCAAATGCATTTCATGTAACTAAAATGTTTGTACCCCCATAATATCCTGAATTAGAAAAAAGAAAACAATTCCAACATAGAACCAATATCAGTGGAATACTTGGTTATGTCTCTCTCAATGCCATTACTCATGTCTCAGTTCCTATTTACTGCTAGCCAGAATATATTTTGAAGTCTTCAGTTTCTTTTTCCCTGTCTTATTCCAAGACTGCTTTTCAAATATATTTCACTTCTTCTCTCTGCCCTCCTTGCTATTTATTCTCTTCTAATCTCCTGGTCTTTCATTTTCAATTATTACAAATATCATCCCTTCTAAGAATTCTTAGTAGTACCATTATTTACTTATACCAAATACTTCCTGTAGATTTCTCCTTTATTTTCTCTAACTAAATATTAATATAATAGTAGTGATCAAAATACACTTTCATTTTACTGGCTATGAGAGATTTTCCAGGGAATGCATGTTCATTAGGGAAAAGGTTAATGGCACTTACTCTAGATAAAGAAATAAGGACTAGCGGGACAGGTGGATGTGAAATTCTCACGTCCTCTGTAGGCCCCTGTTCTCTTTGTTGCAGACTTCTCCATTGCGGTTGGCGTGCTGTTCCCAGTGGTGGTCATCTTTGTGGTGGTTGCCATAGTAATCCGGCACCAGAGCTCCAGAGGAAAGCAGAAGAAAGTTCAGAAGTAAGCCTTTATCTTCCTTTGGGGCCTGTTTGACCCCTGTTTTACTTTAAATTTAAGGGTATGACCTAACCTTTCAAATTTAATTTTTGTTTACTCCAAATATTTGGAAATACACTGATCTTAGTCTTCTTGGACCAAAGGCTGGATATTCCTTATACTGCAAAATCTTTCACAGCAAGAAATGTATCTTTTTCTACTGTTAGTCACTGTATTTATAATCAAGAATAAGAGTGATATTAACTTTCATTATGAAATATTTTTACAAATATTATAAGAATGCAATAGCATTTATGGATCACTAATTATATGACAAACACTGGGCTAAACCCTTTTAATCTGTTGTCTCTTTTCATCTTCACAAGAACTTTATGAGGTAGTTACTGTTGTTTCCATTTTATAGATGCAAAGGTTTTAGATTAATCCTAACATAGTACTGTAAGATTAGGGACTTCACATTTTGACTGATGTGGAAATTAGCTCAGAAGTTAAACATTTTTTTCAGCCTTGCAAAGTAAATGATGGAGCCTTGATTTTCACCTTTATCTGTTTGTCTTACAAACATGATCTTGATCCAACAGTATCAGTTTAGCATTTTTAAAGACCAACTTACTCTCCCATAATGAGTTTTTAATAAATATTAAATGAACAATGGAAACCAATAGTGAAATGACATAATTTAGATAAAGTTTGGATTCAATACCACCATTATTAGGAATCAGGGCTCTGCAGAGAATGAGAAAAAGAAAATTCCTGGTGGTGATTTTGAGTTGCAGGACAATGAAGGTGGTTAACAGGGAACTCAAAGCTGAAGAATATCTCATGGAGCAGATAAAAACCCAGTCAATTGCCAAGGATGGCAAAATGGGCAAAGGAAGCTGTAATCTTTTACTTAGTTTCCCTACCTTGCTGAAGGATCTGCTAAGTCAATTTATATGACACATTTTCAATTACAGGGCACCATCTACTGCTGGCACCAGACCACACAAACAGAAGAGGAGACTTCAGGTGGTGAAGGCTGTTCAACCCCAAGAGGTGACGGTAGTTTGGACTGTGTTTGCCATGGCCCTGCTTTGTGATTGCTCACTCTCATATCCTAACCAGCTCTCTGTCATTTCTACCGAGCAGTGTTTATAAATCCACTCCACTGGTTAGTGTATAGCAAGGATAGTGGGCTTTGCAACTACCTTAAAAAAATTCTCCTTTCCCTGTTAAATGCAAAAGAGAATCCCTAAAATGCAGAGGCTACTTTGCTGGTATTCAAGAAATGCAAAGAGAACAAAGAAGACAGACACCAGATGTCTGTCTGTCTCTCTTTTTCTGACTGTAGGTTGATTCCTTATTTCTTTGGCAAATTTCCCAATGGATATAATAATATGTATACTTGTATGATAATGTATATAATATGTACAACTCCTTGTCATGCCCTATAAGTTTAGAGATTTTAGCTGAAATTGGTTAATGGTAATAACATTGGTAACAATGTTGATGAAAATTTTTTTGTACAGCTCTGGGAAATACTTTCTAGAATACAACAGCTGAGCCTGTAACATCCTATCTGGTTTCTCAGTGTCAGTTTAATTCCAAGCTCTCATGCCTTAAAAGGACAGTTTCCTTAAAAGTTGTATTTAGGAAACTGATGATATTATTTTGAAATATTCTTTCTTTCTTTTTTTTTTTTTTAGATGAGTCAGGCGAAGCTCCCTGTGTCTGATCTGCCAGTAGAAGACAGTGAACCTCCAGCTTATTTTGTGAGTTAGCAACTTCTCTTAAATATTACCCTAGTTCAACCTCAAGAAAATTCTGGGGAAAGACATAACCCACAATGCTCAATTATTCCTTCAGAAGAATATTTAAATCTGTATAAATATTAATATAAAATATAAATTATTCTGCAAAACTTTTTGAAAATATAAAATGTGAGAACGTATGCCTCTCCATTGCAATCCTAAAACTGAACCCCTAAACCTGAATATTGGGGCTGGGAAGTCGATAACCCATTACAAGAAGAGTATCAATCTGCTTAACAAGGGACCATGGTTTCATTCAGTTCAGGCTGTATAACAAAAACAGCACAGACTGAGTGGCTTAAACAACAAACATTTATTTTTATAGAGGCTGGGAAGTCCAAGATCAAGGTACTGGCAAATCCAGTGTCTGGTGAGGGCCAGCTTCATGGCTTGTATAATACACAGTGGCATTCTCGCCATACCCTCACATGGCACAGAAAAAGAGACTTTTCTCGAGTCTCTTCTTATAAGGGCACTAATCCTCTCAGGAGAACTCCACTTTTTATTGCCTAATATCCTCCAAAAGGCCCTGCTTCCAATTACCATCACACAGGGAATTGGGGCTTCAACATATGAAATTGGGGGGGGGGCAGGGGAGGACACAAACATTCAGTCCATTGTAACCATCTTCATCACATATCTGTTGGCATTGGACTTATGTCTGAATTGTACACGTGCCCCTAAATGAAAGCAATCGAACTCATGGGTTTAGAATATTCTCATGGGTAGGGCCATACTTTCTCCATTTCCGAAAATGATTTAAGCCTTTTCTTGAAGCACATCTGTTTTCAGGGCCTTGTCTTTGAATGAAACATTTTTATCTTTTTACTAGTTAATTACAAAGCCAGATTTTCCACCACCACCGATTCCTACATCTATATCCTCATCTTTTCTCGTAAGTATCAGATAGTCACCAGTAATTTTTTAAATGTCTCTTATGCCCAATGAGAATATTATCTCTAAATTCATGGATTCTTTATTAGGACACATGCTCTTGAGGTTAACCTGAGATATTATGGTACATTTGTCTGGGGATGTCGGAAAAAGCAAAGCCTACTATCTCTAAATTAATATGGACATTGATTTTTTATTATGAAAAAGTGGTTCTACTGTTGTATAATTGTTGAGAAGTGATAAATAGTTCTGCTGCATGAGGTAAATTTTTCCTTCAAAGTATCATTTCTAGATGCTTAATTTAGAGGACATAAAAATTTTATTACAAATGGTATTTTGCTTTCTTATTTATTATAGGTAGAATATGGCCTATTATTAGTCATGGTTTTCTGTAGTAGGTAGATTATGAAAATTAGACCACATATAGGCAAATCTGGAATAAAAGCCAGATGCTTATGAAATAAAAAAGTAGAATTCACCCTCTCATTAAATGGTTTCTGAGCATACTTCTCATGCTTGGTACTTTGTTGTAGGTAAATAAGAAAGAGCTAAAATATAAATTCCTTTTTTCCAAGAAATTTTACATTTTTAGTGAGAAAACAAGTCACATACACATGGAACACTTAATCCCTCAAATATTATTTGTGCCAAAGTGATACTAACAAAAAAACATGATGAGGAGAAAATAAATGGGTTTGGAGTGGTTCAAGTAGGAGGAGGATCCATTGAGTGAGTAGTTAGAATTTGAACTAGATCCTGAAAATTGGGTAGAATTTAATGAGTGAAGGAGGAGGTAAGAAATAATCTCATTAAAAAAGTGAGTATAGACACAATGGGAAAAGCATAGTATGTCTAATGACCCACCATTATTTTTGTGTCTAATACAGCATAAAGACACAAAAGCACTTCCCTCTAATGTTTTCAAGGATAAGCCAATGTCTACACCTAAGGTAAGAGATCCATGGCCAAATTATTATAATTTTGGATCATAATCTCCTAGTATCAAGGGGAGAAGTTCGAATCATGTCTTCTTAGACGTTTACTAAGAACTGTATCTGTATGATTGTGGGACAGGCGCTAACATGAATGTCTTCTGAGTTAGGCCAATGACCAAGACGAGGGAGATCGGAATGTCTCAGCTAGAAAGCTATGATGACCCCAATATTCTTCATTTGTTCAGAAATATCCACTAAGAATGAATATTCTATAGGAGGAAATCTCTCAAAGAATAATTACTCGGTATCCCATAACCCTCTCCTTGTCCCCCATCCTCTCCATATTATGCTAATCACTGAGATGGATATTTGGACCCCAGTGTGGTATTTTTCTCACCTTTGATTCCTACCCTCCCATGTTTCCACTCCTTTACTGTTGTTCTATTAAATAACCTATAACATAGGAAATGTGGCCTCAGATAATTGATTTTTAATTTTTTAATAAAAAGAATTCATCGTTTCATAATATAGAATATCTAAATCAAAGTTTCATAATATAGAATATCTAAATTTGGGGGAAAAGTTGATTACTTAAGAGTTTTTTTCTTTTTTAGGGCTCAAATCTCAAAGTATGAAGCAACAGCTAAGTAAGAATTGATGAATAAATGCTCAACTTGAAAGATTGGACAATTGGAATAAAAAAGAAATACATTTACTTTCTCACTGGTGTTTGCTCTTGACAGTCAAGGAGGTTAATATTTCCTGATTCATGTTATATTTTGAAAATATTAAACAAAATTTTTCGAGAGAGACTTTGAGAATCTTTGTATGATTTTAAAGTTTCTGTTACCCATACTCTTAAGAAAGAAGATGACTCTAAAGAAATACCTCTGAAGCTTAAATCTCTAAGATGATTTTCCTAGACAACCCTCCTTTTGCACAATGATGTTGACTGATATTTGTTCAAATTTTTTGAACACTTTGATTTTGCTCTTTTGATAGACAGTAATTCACTCTCTAATGAAAACAAAACAAAACCAAACAAAAATCACAGAAACCTGGGAAAAATAAGAGAAAAATGGTCCATTTTTTATTAAATGTGTAGCGACATCTTGATTCTTTTAACCATTAATTTGTCAAATTAGAGTCCTCAGTTAAGAAGAAAATTATGTAAACATTCTCTGTTTTGTATTTCCTACATTATCTTCTGAAATCCTTATTACCGATGTCATGTGAGGTTTTCTACAATTGAGTAAAACTTTATTAATTAAAAATGTTATATTAATATATATTTATGTAATTTAATTACTGTTATGGCTAAAGTGGACTTCACTTTCTAAATAGAGGAAATTTTAGTTAAATAAATTAATAGCCTAAACAACTGGTGACCTGTAGGCCATGTTTGGACCACAGATGTATTTTATTGGTCTGAATGATGTTGGCCATGTAGTATTTTTAAATGTTTTGAATGTATTGCTAACATTTAAAAATTGGGAGATCTTGCATAAACATCCACATTCCCAGCTTCTTAAAAGTAAACAGATGCTTTGTCAACACTGCAGTCACATTGCCTGTAGCAGCCGTCGGCTTAGTGGATGGTGGTAGAGCAAACACTGTTGGTTGCCTACAAAATATCTCTTCTCTTCCTAGCTTTTAGAACTCAAATTTTGTTTCCCTATCCATCTATAGAAAAGAAGATTCTAACTCTATCTCATGGATAAATCCCTATTATTCTAAGTCACTCGTAATAATTTCATCTTCCTTGCCAGTTGGTTGATTTGGAGGTAAGTAGGTAAGCTCCCCCTCCCTTTTTCCCAATGAGACAAGAGAAGAGGTATGTTGGGAAATTTCTGGAAAATATTTCCTCATTCCTTCATCTGGATGTCAGCACCTGGGTATTCTATCTGGTACTGCTGCAGGCAAGCTGTGGTTATGAAGGTAAGGATAATATACTGAATGAAAGCAGAAAGATAAAAAGAATAAAACCTTGTCTTTGAATTATGTCATTGAGCTGGTAGATTAATAATTGCTAATAACTCCACACTTTGTTGGGGTTCTTGTTATATGATCATTGAAATTTCCTCGTTGTTTAAGCCATTTTGAGTTGGGTTACACGGCTTCTTTTTGTAATGCTTGAGTCATGGTTCTAAGTGTGCCCATCACCCAGATAGTGTTCATTGTATCCATTAGGTAGGTTTTCACCCATCCCCTCCTCCCTCTTCCCCCTGCTTGATTTCCACGAAGTTTTACTTTCCTCTGTGCACATGTGTGATAATCAGTTCTAGTTTAATAGTGAGTACATGTGGTGTTTGTTTTTTCATTCTTTAAACCAGGTGCCCATCAAATTCAGGAGTGGATTAACAAAATGTGGTATATGTGTATCATGGAATACTACTCAGCCCAAAAAAGTTTCAAGTGCCTTTTGCAACAATCTGGATGAAACCGGATACCATTATCCTAAGTGAAGAAACCATTCTTTGATCATAAGATGTCAAACCAAAGCCCCACAAAGCTTCCTTTTGAGCTGAGCTCCCATTTAGAGCAGACTTTGAACTGCTCTAAGTCTGAACTAGACTTTGATTTAGAGCAGACTTTGATTTTACAATACTGTTTCTAGGCCTACACCTGTAACTTACTAACTTTGAGGGGATGCTACTTATGTGACATTTAACAGGCTCAGGTATGCCACCAAGCCTGCTTTTTTCATTAGTTATTTTTAACTTCTCTACATTTTTTATTAAACTGGTTAAATTATGTTCTTATTCAGGTACTCTATGACTGAGATACTTCTTAGCGTCTTTCTGCTTTTGTATAAGCTTTGGGAATGCTCTTAACTTTTTATAAGATAATGATGTGTGTGTGAAAAAGAAAGAAAGTTTTAGTTGGTTGCAGTCAGAGAGTATGGAAAGGGTTATTATTATTATTTTAATGTTATTATTCACATTGGTAATAATGACCCCTATGTGGTAAGGAACTGAGGGTGGCCTCTGGCCAGCAGCCAGTGAGGAACTGAGTCCCTCAGTCCAGCAACCCTCAAGGAATTGAGTTCCTCCAACAACCATTGAATGAGCTTGCAAGTAGATTCCTTCCCCGTTGAATTTTGCCTGCAGCCTTGTGAGAGACCCTGGAGCAGAGCATTGAGCTAAATTGTTAGGCTTGTTGGAGAAACAGCTATTGAAGCAACTGAGATTATTCCTTATGTTCTTTCCTAGCCTCTTCTGCAGCCAAAATGTAGCTATAGACAAGATTCTTCCTTTCAGATGCACTGACCCAACACTTTGAATGAGGTGTGTAGAATATAAAGCAGTGAGCATGGAGAATTATCTTTGGTGATGAAGGATGTTATAATAAGATTGAGTTAGTCAGGAAGTTGTAGCAGTGGGGCCAGTTGTGGATCAAGGTTGGCCTAGTTCAAATGGTGTCAGCAATGCCAGCTGAGTGACAGTGGCAAGGGTGAGACAGACATTCTGCATTTATTATTCTACCACATGGTATCAGCTGGAATTCCTGACTGCATGGTCACCAAGCCTGGTTCTCCAGTCCTCGTGTTGAGGACTGCCCATTTCCAGAGTTTGTTCATTTCCAGAGCTTGTTCATGACCCCAAACAGAAACTCAGTACCCATCAAATAGTCACTCCGAATTACTCTTTCCCTCAGCCCCTGGGAACCTCTAGTCTACTTTCTATCTCTGAATGTGCTATTCTAGATAGCTCCTATCACTGGAATTATACAATATTTTTCCTTTTATGTGTTGACCTCATTTCACTCAGCATAATGTATTCAAGGTTCATCCATGGCATAGCTTGTGTCAGGATTTCATTCCTTTTCAAGGCTGAATAACCTGATAGCTTTTCACTGTCTTTATTTGAGACAGTTGGGGACAACTTCTGTGGCTCCAAGTCTTTGTTCAGATTAACATTGTTTTTCTTCTTGCCCAATTTCTAGCCAAAATAATGCTTTAAATACTTTTTGGTTTTCATTTGCACTTCTTTGATGGCAAAGCTATTTTTAAGTTGATAATTTTACACAACTTATTCCTAGTATTTTAGAACCCTGTTTTATATCAGAGTTATTGCCATCCTCTTCTTAGCAGGAACCATGTCCAAGCTTGTTTTCTTGGGCTTAGCTGACCAAATATAGGCATCAGTTCAATGTTGAAATCTCAGGTGTACAGTCCTAATGAGAATAATGATTTAAGGAAGTTCAGAAATGTATGCAAGTGAAAAACAAAGTGATGATCATAGAGCTATAGTTAAAATTCTCCCATGATGTCCCAATAACTTTTGAGGAACAAGGTGTCAGCCACTGAACTGCTACAGACAGTAGTTGCATTTCTCATAGAGAAGGCCCTGATACACAAGCCAAGTGTTACCCCTCAGCAAATAGCATTTTCCCCTTGTAAGTCAATGTGTGTCACCAAACTGTCTTTCTAAACTCTCACTGCTGTGAAACAGCTCTCGGAGATTCATGTGTCTTTTGCAACCCATCGTAACCATTATTGAAATGCCCGCTGGAGCCAGTTCCAGGCAAGGGTCCTTGAGTCCTTTGTGCCAATGGCCAGGCTGAGTGGACCCGCTGGAAAGCTGAAGTCTCAGATAGGGAATAAGAGACAGACAAAATGTAGTGGAAATATAAAGAGGAGAGAATAAGAAAAAGTAGAAAAGGGTTTTTATGCTGTGGCAGGGTAAACCATACACAGGGATGAAAGCATAGGCTTCCTGGCTCTGCCATTAACTAGCTCTTTGGGCTTCTGCAAATCATTTGTGTTCCTGGAGCATTTTTACATTTACTCATCTATAAAAAGGAATTAAGAATTTGTGACTTGCTAATTGCCAAAGAGGGCTTTCTAGGAAATGTGTAAAGGCAGTATGAAAATATAAAAATGAAAAGAGGGACAGCACTGAGGACGCCATTATCCTCTGTTTCTCTACTACACCGACCTCGACGTCTTGGCTGTGTCCCACTTGTTTGCAGCCTACTACAGCACTAGGGTGTCAGTTGTTGGTCCCGCCCAGAACACTTTAGTTCTGCTCTGCAAGGATATATAATAACTGATTGGTGTGTCCATTTAATACAAGAAAATGGAAACCGAACAGCCAGAGGAAACTTTCCCCAACACTGAAACCAATGGTGAATTTGGTAAACGCCCTGCAGAAGATATGGAAGAGGAACAAGCATTTAAAAGGTCTAGAAACACTGATAAGATGGTTGAATTACGTATTCTGCTTCAGAGCAAGAATGCTGGGGCAGTGATTGGAAAAGGAGGCAAGAATATTAAGGCTCTCCGTACTGACTACAATGCCAGTGTTTCAGTCCCAGACAGCAGTGGCCCCGAGCGCATATTGAGGCATCAGTGCTGATATTGAAACAATTGGAGAAATACTGAAGAAAATCATCCCTACCTTGGAAGAGGGCCTGCAGTTGCCATCACCCAGTGCAACCAGCCAGCTCCCGCTCGAATCTGATGCTGTGGAATGCTTAAATTACCAGCACTATAAAGGAAGCGACTTTGACTGCGTGTTGAGACTGTTGATTCATCAGAGTCTGGCAGGAGGAATTATTGGGGTCAAAAGGTGCTAAAATCAAAGAACTTCGTGAGAACACTCAAACAACAATCAAGCTTTTCCAGGAATGCTGTCCTCATTCCACTGACAGAGTCGTTCTTATTGGAGGAAAACCTGATAGGGTTGAAGAGTGCATAAAGATCATTCTTGATCTTATATCGGAGTCTCCCATCAAAGGACGTGCACAGCCTTATGATCCCAATTTTTACGATGAAACTATGATTATGGTGGTTTACAATGATGTTTGATGACCGCCGTGGACGGCCTGTAGGATTTCAATGCGGGGAAGAGGTGGTTTTGACAGAACTGCCTCTGGTGGGGATGGGCATCCCATGCCTCCGTCTAGAAGAGATTATGATGATATGAGCCCTCGTAGAGGACCACCTCCCCTCCTCCTGGTCGAGGTGGCCGGGGTGGTAGTAGAGCTCGGAATCTCCTCTTCCTCCTCCACCACCTCCTAGAGGAGGAGATCTAATGGCCTATGATAGAAGAGGAAGACCTGGAGACCGCTACGATGGCATGGTTGGTTTCAGTGCTGATGAAACTTGGGACTCTGCAATAGATACACGGAGCCCATCAGAATGGCAGATGACTTATGAACCACAGGGAGGCTCTGGATATGATTATTCCTATGCAGGGGGTCGTGGCTCATATGGTGATCTTGGTGGACCTATTATTACTACACAAGTAATATTCCAAAGATTGGCTGGATCTATATGGCAAGGTGGTCAGCGGATTAAAACAAATCCGTCATGAGTCGGAGCTTCGATCAAAATCGATGAGCCTTTAGAAGGATCCGAAGATCGGATCATTACGTTCGATACAGGACAGATCTGCCGTTTTGCGACAAGTGTGAAGCAGTATGCAGATGTTGAAGGATTCTAATGCAAGATATTTTTTCTTTTTTATAGTGTGAAGCAGTATTCTGGAAAGTTTTTCTAAGACTAGTGAAGAACTGAAGGAGTCCTGCATCTTTTTTTTTTTATCTGCTTCTGTTTAAAAAGCCAACATTCCTCTGCTTCATAGGTGTTCTGCATTTGAGGTGTAGTGAAATCTTTGCTGTTCACCAGATGTAATGTTTTAGTTCTTTACAAACAGGGTTGGGGGGGGGGGAAGGGCATGCAAAAACTAACATTGAAATTTTGAAACAGCAGCAGAGTGAGTGAATTTTATTTTTTGTTCATTGTTGGTGGTTTAAAAAAATTCCCCCTATGAAATAATTGTGAACACCTTGCTTTGTGGTCACTGTAACATTTGGGGGGTGGGACAGGGAGGAAAGTAACAATAGTCCACATGTCCCTGGCATCTGTTCAGAACAGTGTGAAGAATGTTATGCTCTTTTGTAAGAAGTGTTTTATGATTTTTAAAATAAATTTAGTGAACCTAAAAAAAAAAAATGAAAAGAGGAATCCTCTTCTTAGCAGGAACCATGTCCAAGCTTGTTTTCTTGGGCTTAGCTGACCAAATATAGGCATCAGTTCAATGTTGAAATCTCAGGTGTATAGTCCTAATGAGAATAATGATTTAAGGAAGTTCAGAAATGTATGCAAGTGAAAAACAAAGTGATGATCATAGAGCTATAGTTACAGGGACTCAAAGGGGAATGCCCGAGGTCTGGAAAGGTAGATAACGCGCATCCATCAGTGACCTACCCAGAGGATGGCTGTGTCATTGGGTCTTTTAGCAATGAGGCCCTCTCTGAACAGGCTACGGTGTCACACATCTTTGAGCAGAAAGTAGGATTTGGGGGGAGCATTATTTATTATTTGTACATACTTCCTCGATGAGCCTTTATTTTTCTTTGTCTTTTAGTTCCCCTCTGAAGTGCTTTTAGAATTTTTTTATATCTCAGTATTTCTCCTCTTCTTACATTATTAAGTCTATAGCTCAGAACTGGATCAAATTAAACAACATCCTAGAATACAGGCTACACCGTGCAGCCATCTTTAGTTTACATTTTGGGTAAATCGACTTGCACTGAATTCACAAAGCTTTTAGAAAAACTAAAATCACAGCCAACTGCAAATTTGATGATTTTGTTTTCCATCAAAATATTATAAAGCAATAATAAAAATATGCACAAGTATTATACATTATGATTTATACAAGTTTGTGTTTATGTGTGATTTCACTTCATCCTTATAACAATCTTATGTGCAGAATCATTGCCCTCACTTTATAAATGAGATAACTGAAATACAGAGGAGAATAGCAGATTTTTCTCTAGGTCACATAGCTACTAAGTGTTGGAACAGGGACTCAAACTCAGCTACTCTAGATCCAAGTTTTAGATTGTTCCACGTTACCACACTGTCTGCAGCAAAACTATTTTGCACAGCAAGTCGCTTTAATACTATAGTTTTAAGTGCAAGAATTCTCTTTTGACTCCAGAAACAATTTCCTTTGTAGAATGTTCCCAGTGAAAATACAACTGATGTTGCAGTCTAATGTTGTGCTGCTTGACTGTCTACTCGTAAAAATCACTTCTCATTTTCCCTCATTCTTGTTACTAGTGATTAGCACAGAGCCTAGAAAATAATAAACATTCAGTAAATCAACAAGCAAAAGTCTTCCATCAAGATTATGGGTTTAATGCATTGTGTAATTTATACTTAATCTGGTTGTTTTTTTAGTTCTTCGATATAAACATTTACCAAATCCCTATTTACTAAGTGGACACTGGATGTAGAAAGATTAACTTCTTTCCCCTCTGTCCATGGACTCACAGCCTAGTGCTACAGATGGATATAAATAAATATGGAAATAAAATAATCACTAAAATGGAGATAAATCACTAAAATATGAGTACAAGGAAGCACAGAGGAAATGCTTATCAGGAGAGGGCATGAGAAGTTTCTCAAGGGTGGTGTCATTTAAATCTTGAATTATAGGCAGTTTATCAGACCTCTAAAGGAAAAAGAAGAAAAGAGTGTTTTAGGGAAATACTGGGGTTAAATAATAGCCTGGCAAAGTCATGATTCCAAAAAGGTCATCATATGTTTAAGGAACTGCAAGCAGATCATCAAGACTACAGTGAACAAAAAATTTTATTTTTGAGTACCTTTATATATTTTATATGCTACCTTTCATTAAACATACACATTTGTGCATACACAAATTTAAAATACTTATAAAATTATGACACAGATACAAAAGGAACAGTTACGAAAATTAGAAAAGAAGAAAGCAAGAAGGTCAGGCCAGGCATGGTGGCTCACACCTGTCTGTAATCCTAGCACTCTGGGAGGCCAAGGCTGGAGGATCCCTTGAGGTCAGGAGTTCAAGACCAGCCTGAGCAAGAGTGAGACCCCCACGCACACACAGTCTCTACTAAAAATAGAAAAAATTAGCTGGACGTGGTGGTGTGTGCCTGTAGTCCCAGCTACTCGGGAGGTTGAGGCAGGAGGATCGCTTGATCCCAGGAATTGCAGTGAGCTATCATGATGCCACTGAACTCTACCCAGGGCAACAGAATGAGCCTTTGTCTCAAAAACAAAAACAAAACAAAACAAAAAATCCAAAATTATAGAAATCGTAAAGCCATGAGTTAGATATGACCTATGAAATACAAAACATACAACCTTACATATTTGATAAGTATGAGCTCCAAGTTTTACTCAAAACTATCTAAAAACAAATATGTAAACAAATAAGAGAAGTAAATATCATTCATTCACAGTGTCCATAAAATAAGAACAAACATACTACCACAGAGGATATAAAAATCACATTAAGAAAAGCAAAACCACCTAGCCAAATAAATAAAAAAATGATGAGTCAGAGGGATTATGGTTCTCCCTTTCTCTGAGACCTAAAAGAAGTTTCCAGGGTGGTGTTGCTATTGGATCAAACTAGAGAACCCGTCTGTACCTTTTGCCTGGATTCTCATCCTGGTAACCACCAGGTACTAGACACACCCTTGGCAGTTTGCCCTAAGCTACGCTCTGGTTATACCAACTCAGAAATGAACCCTAGCAGGTAGCAAGGCACAGACTCAAATTAGGATATGCCCCCAATCTTTTCATCAGTAGCTTTCAGCACTGCTTCAGGGTAATGGAGTAATTATTTCTGAGTGTCATACCATGAATTTAGAAGCCAAATAATAACTTGGCTATTTATGTCATCACCAAACAAATAAAAGTTATTTTAATCTGCTTTTGGAATACTTAAAAATTGTAAAAATAAACATTATAGTATATTTAAATTTGCCATTGAAAGAATTCAATATCTGAAAACACAAAGTCTTTAATACCATTGGTTACATTTTATAGCACTACATAACCATTAGTTGTAACTGGTATTTTTTTAAAATCTCAATTCATTATTTTTTTAAAAAAGCCCAAAATCTGAACTTGAACTTCACAACTTATATAAAAATTAACTCAAAATGGATCATGGATTAAATATAAAGTGCAAAACTATTAACTTAGATAAAATTACATAGAAGAAAATGTTTAGAATCTGAAGCTAGGCAAAGAGTTCTTAGACTTGATACCAAAACACCATCTATAAAAAGAAAAATGGAAAAACTGAACTTCATCAAAATTAAAAACTTTTACTCTGTAAAAATCTGTGTTAAAATAATGGAGAGACAAGCTACATAGTGGCAGAAAATATCTGCAAACCACATATCTGACAAAAGGCTACCATTTAGAATATATATAGACAATAGCAGCAAAAACAAATTCTAATTAGAATATGAGAAAAAGACACGAAAAGATATTTCACTGAAGAAAATAACAGCAAATATGCACATGAAAAGATGTTCATAACTATAATCAAATTTAAACCAAAATGAAAAATTGCTATATACCTATAGAAATGGCTAAAGTTAAAAATAGTGACAACATTAAAAACAGGCAAGGATGCAGAGAAATTGGATCATCTATACATTGCTAGTGGAAATACCAAATGACACAAATATTATGGAAAATGGTTTGATAGTTTCTTTAAAAGACTAGAAATGCAATGAACACATGACCCAGCAGTTGCACTGCTGAGCACTTACTGAAGAGAAACAAAAATGTAAGTCACAAAAAAATTTCCATGTGTGTTTATAGCAACTTTACTTGTAATAATCAAAAAATAGGAAACAATCCAAATACTCTGAAATGGGTGAATTTAATATTAAATGAACTGTGATGTATCGATACTATGAAATACCACTCAGAAATAAAATGAAATGAATTATTAATACACCATTGGGTAAATCTCCAGAAATTTATGCTGAGTGAAAAGAGAACAAGCCCAAAGATAACCTACTGTGTGACTCCACTTATATAACATTCTTGGAATGATGAAATTATAGAAAGGAAGTACACATTAGTGTTTGCCAGTGATTCAGGAGGGTGTAGTAGTAGATGGAATGTGAGTGTGTCTTTCAAAGGGCTACAAGAGAAATCCTTGTTGTGATGCAATGTTTTGTATCTTGATTGTATCATTGTCAGTATTCTGATTGTGATACTATACTAGAGTTTTGCAAGATGTTACCATTAGGGAAAATGAGGAAAGAGTATATGGTATCTCTCTCTATTTTTTTTTTTTACAACTGCTACAGGTATCTCACAATAAAAAAGTTAATTTAAAAAAATACATTAAAACTGACTCAGACAATTCTGATTTCCCTATACCTATTTAAAAATTGAATTTTTAATTAAAAATCTTCTCACAAAGAAAATTCTTGCTCACATGGCTTCACTGGTAAATTCTATTCAAAATTAAGAAAGAAATTCATTAGAATAAAAATATTCTAAAGAAATTCTCTTAGAATATGGAGGAATAGGACATTTTGCAGCTCATTTTACAAAAGGTTAATACAATGATGAGATGTCACAATCTTAAAAAGATATTGCAAGAAAAGAAAATTGCAGTAAAATATCTGTAAT